TGCAGGCCCGCACGCCAATCTGCGCCTGGCGTGCGGCATTGGCGTGCGGTTATCAACCCCCCATTCTACGGGGCATTTAACCCATATTCACTCACTGGAACCACTAGGCTAGCTCCACTCAGTCAAAAGTTATTTGGGATTTAAATTTTATTTGCACAAAAAATGCTTGTTGCATAATGTAAACCACAAGTTGGCCTTAGTTAGCTTACATATTCAATATTCATTGCATATGGTAACCACAAGTGAGCCACATTGTTTGTATGTACACTGAGAATGATGTATAGGGCTAGAACCACAAGTTGGCCATTTATAGATTATTGGTTAGGGCTAGAACCACAAGTCAGCCGGGTTGTAAAATAGACTATTTAAGGAGGGGCTTTCCCCCCCTCATTCCAATTTTTCATCATCAGATCATATCATCACAACAGATCATCATCTCATCTGATCATCAACCAGACAGAACAGAGCAATCAATCCATACATTAACCAGTGTGATCTTAATCAAGTGCCCCATTGAGATCATTCAAGACATTAAGCATAAGAAAAAGAAAGTAGCAACTAGTACAACTTGTGATCTTAAACAAGAGACAGTGATCTTAAACCATTGTGCTCTTGACCAAGGAGGAAGGGAAAGACACTTTCAATAGTCACATTTTTCCACAATAACATTTCATAAATTCACATTCATCATCAGTACATACGTCAATCATTTTTCAAAATACATAAAAATATAAACAGAAAAACACCTCTTACTCAACATTTCCACTCAAACAGTCTGCTGAATCCACGTTGATCTAGGTTTGATAAGAGACTGCTACACATAGTTTTCTCTATCATCAGTTTTTGCCACAACAATAAAATAAATTGTTGTGTTAACTCTTGTGTAGTACAATAGAGGGGCAGGTCTTTCAAACCAGCCGTAACAGTTGTAGTGGATCATTACATACGTGATATATCTCATCTGCTATTTCCCCCTCACAGGACTGCCACCATTCCCAAAGGAGTTCTCACACCAGAAGGGATTCCTTCTGGTCAATGAGGTATAACATCCTCATTGATTGGAAGGAATTCCTTCTGATCAATGAGGTTGTTACCCACATCGACTTCCAATCAATGAGATTTGTTGTTATACCTCATCAACCGGAAGGAATCCCTTCCGGCCAATGAGGCTTTTCTTTCTCATAGACCAGAAGGAAATCCTTCCAGTCATGGGAGCGAGCAACTCCCAAACCCCCTCAAGCATGAGGGGTGGTTTGGGGTGCCAACTCCCTAAAAATCAAAAAAAAAAATTGAAAAATTAAACAAGAAATTGGATGGCCAACTCCCAAAGTCGGCCATCGATTTAGAAGAACAACTCCCATCCAACAACCCCTCGACCAAAATGGGAGTTGTTGGACAATTTTTGGGAGTCGTTTTTCTGACCCCCTTATAAAAACCCCCACTTTCACTTTCAACACCCGTTACCCAATTTGAATCAGCCTGAGACATGGTTGTAAACAATCTGTCCCCCAAAAATAAATCTCCTGAAGTAGATGAAACTGTCTCTTTTACACTCCTGCATCCTCTACAGAACTTGCCCACATAGAAGAAGTACAGGAAAAAAATGCTACTAACATAAAAAAAGCTTGTAGGTAGAAATAGTTATATTCATAGTGTGCAATGCCAAAGGCCAAACTTACACTTAAAGAACCCTCAAGGCTACATATACAGTACATCACATACATATACATATACATATACATTTACAAGGAACAACTGCACTCAACATATTACCTGAAGCTGCATGATTCCTACATGACCAATACAAAAATATACATGCAGGCACAGCCACCTCCATTAGTAGATTTTCATCAATTGACAACTGTATATTACATCATCAACAATCTTACACACCCCTGTAGAATACACATCAATTCCTGACCAATCACAATCTCTCATTCAGACTGAAGCAAAACTCAAACAGGCTTTACAGTTCTGACCAATCATATTCACCCATTCACCATATGTAATCCCTCATTTATCTATTCAAAATGCCTCATGTAGTGTTCCCCTTGGAGTCAAAATACCTCACTCTGTCTATATAAGGAGGCTCTCCTCCCCAATTTCCAATTTCTCCACAGCAGAGTACTGCACTAGTGTTTCCCCCATAACATTAAAGAGCCTGCTCAACTTCTTATTCACCTTCTCAACATTTTACTTACATACATAAAAAACCACCATGGAAATAAAAATCATTACTCACTTCTCAACACTGATATAAATAAACACCCCTTCTTTGGAGCCCCTTCATCCAACTTGCACCTGGTATTAACCTTGTCCCAATCATTCAAAATCCTTACATAAAAACTATTACTTAGAATACTATCTACTGTCTCAAACAAAATTTATTCTTTGATAAAACTCCACTATCACTACATAAAGCTGCCAATATGAGATTGGTGGGCTTGGTTTATTTTCTAGTGAAGCAGGAAAGGCATAGACAACCTCACACATCCTTTCCGCACTCATCAAATGGTCTTGAGGAACACTTTTGAGTTTCACACTGTGGTTCCTCCCCCGGCTAATGAGAGTACACTCTCAGTGGCTGAGTGGAATCCTCCTGGCTTTGGGAGGATCTTTTTTCACAGACCCCCCCCCCAAACCCCATTAGTTTTTGAAGCATTGAATTCCAGCCCCACCAGGGGTTTATTCTTTTTTATGGCCCTGTTTGGACGACCAGTGTGATATTAGGCCCCATTTGGATGCCCCAAATTTGGTTATAAATTGCACAATTTATGACAGGGGGCACCCGGGTTCTAACACCTGTTTATTGGGTGTTTGGGGCTGCCAGTGATATTTTAAAATACATTCCAGTACTGTATTACAGAAGATGTATCACCCCTGCCATTTCAAAAATAGAGGTCCTGACCTCTATTTCCAGGTGATATTTGCCCTGGAAGACCTCTTTTCCAAGTTTGTTGATAAAAAAAGGTTCTCTGCTTGCTTGAGGCTCTCTCCTCCTTGGGAGGAGAGAGAAACTTGTAGCGTGCAGGTCTGCACTCCAGAAATCTGCAGGGGCATTCCCCCAGCAGGTTGGCGTGTGGATCCGCACACCGATTTTGATTGGTGTGCGGTGCTGCATGCCAACCAGCAACCTAAACCCATTTGAATATGGGTTTAGGTCAAGCCTTCTCACATAAGACCCAGGCCTGGGTCCTATGGGATAGCCCTGTGGCTTGAGGCCATTGAAAAAAATGAAAAAAAATCAAAGTCTTGGGGCTGGGAGGAACCCCTCCAAGGACGCAAATGGACATACAGTCTTGAGGCCGGGAGGGGTTCCTCCCGGCCTTGAGACCTTACATGGCTCAACCGGCTTGATCCCAGCTTGTTGGGAGGGGTTCCTCCCATCAAGCCGGTTTTCAAACCAGCTTGTTGGAAGGAATCCCTTCCAACAGGCTGGTCTGTATACCAACTTGTTGTTGGAATTCAATTCCTTGTCTTGTCCCTCAAAAGAGGAGAGCATCAGGTGAGTTTATCACATGAGTGATAAAATTCCTGAAGAGAGAAATGATTTCTTTGTGCTGATCACAAAACGTGTGATTATCAGCAGAAATAGGCTGTTCAGTAGTTGAACAAGAGAAAGGCATGATTATAGCTTCTACATTGAGTAGTGACTTCAATGATGTCACTAGCAAAGAGAAAAATAATGATCATGATTGATCATCAAGCTCTAGGTGAGTCTTGATGAGTTGAATCAAAAAGAACAAGAATAAGAACAAGATAGCAATCAAGTTCTAATTCTTTGTTTAACAAAAATCATTATTAAAATCTTTAGCTTCTACTTGCGCAAGCCTATCAAACGTAAACTCATCACTTGAATCTTTCCACCGTTAGTCGGTGAGTAAAGAGAGGAGAATTAATGGCCTTTTTCTTATCATAGTAAAAGAGAAAAGTAACTAACCAGTCTATTTTCGATGATCTTACATTAGAATTGTTGAACAGACAGGATTAACAACGGTGGGCCAGCTACGCTAACCGTAGCGTAGTGTAGCAAAACATTGCTACAATTTAGCATAGCGTTAGTGCTTTTTTCAATTTCTACGCTAACGCTACCCGCATGGGGTAAAAATTTGCGCTACCGTTTAGTGTAGCGTTAGCGCAATTCCCCCCATCTGCGCTAACGCTACGTGCACAGGGCGCGAAAAACTGCCTGCTACGCTGTGTTACAGCAATTTTTGGCGGTTTTTAGGTGTTTTTTGCCGCTAAAAACGCTGTAGTGTAGCGTCGCCAGCGGTGCGCTAGCCCTACACCAAGAATTGGCTATTGTTAGCGTAGCGCAGCGGCAGTAGCGGCTAACCCTACACAAAAAAAATTGGCCCCGCTATGCTAACGCTACATGGGCCCGTAGCGGCCCAACACTGGGATTAATTAACCTTCCATTCTTCACAAAACCTCCCCAACACCAGCGCGTGTCAAAGCCTCTTGCTAGAGAATTCTTAAGCATGCATGGTCTGGGCAAAAGAGGGTAGGGACCTGGGCCATTTTTTACTAAAAGGCCAAGGTCCCTTTTTTGTTTCCTCCGGTCGTGAAGGAGATGTAGAAGATAGGATCAGAGTATAGTAGTATCTTGACAAAAGGGGTTTTCAAGAACACAAAGCCCCTCCCAAAGTCTTGAGCACAAACAGGGTGGGTTGATGGTTCTGAAAAAGTGGGAGTGTATTGTGAAGGGGGATGAAGCCAATGACTGGCTAGCGAGGATCCGATGCTTTGTGGTTCAGGGAGGAGTGATAAGACTCGGTGTTTTTATCTGTCAGCTGGCTCTCTGAGAAAGACAGTTGGACCGTTACAGATGATCTGAGCTTGACCTTCCTAAACCAGCTAGTCAAAGCTATGTCGGCTACAATCATGGAAGATGGTGACACGGCTAGGCTTCTAGTCACCGGCCATTACTTAAACAAGAAATATACTCTTGTAATTCAAAGTAATGTATCTTCATTACTTTTTGCACTAAGGAAATATTATATTTTAAGAGAAAGACTAACATCGGAATGATCTGTCAATAATTAATTCAGCCGCTATAATTATCATCATCTGAATAATAAAATAGTCTATTCAAAAGGCATTTTCTATTATTAAGTATTATCTCTAAGACTATCAGATCAGTACTGCCTTCAGGTACTACTCTGATTTCCTTTTATCATATTATCAATTGTATCTATTTAAAAAAGAGTTGATACTTATAAAGAAATGAAACCTGCCTTCAGTTCCAAAATCTTTCACTCATTGGGAGGGGTTCCTCCCAACAAGCTGATTAAACCAGCTCGTTGGAAGGAATCCCTTGCAACAAGATGGTATGTACAGTCTCCTCCCAGATGTTCATAACCATCTGTTTTGAGTTAATTTACACCAGGAACCCAAAGATTTCAAGTCACAATAGTTGGTGGAATGGTGGAAAATGGGTCTCAAAGAATGAACACGAAAAAAATCTAATATTTCTTTCAGGAAAAGATGAAATCTCCAAAGTGATAGTATGAGATCTGGAATGAATAATAACAAGTGAAAATTTGGAAAAAAATGACTAATTGGTGGTTTAAAAAGGGTGCCTAGGGGGTCATTCATCAAGAAATGTGGCATTCTGGTACTTCAATCTACTAATTTTGACTGCAGGGTGTCCACCCACCATGGTCAAACTTTTTTTGGATCAATATTTTTCATTTATAATCATTCTTTTCATATTCCAAACTTGCCCTCTGTGTGCTCACTTTTCACTTAAACAAAAAATTAAAGTTTTCAAAAAAAGTTCATTTTCTTTTATCTTTTTCACAAATTTTAAAATCTTGTTTTTGATTATTGTTTTTTCATATTCATTCTTTGCAACCCATTTTACAACATTCCACAAACTCTTGTGAATTGAAGTGTTTGGGTTCCCACTGTGGAGCTCAAAGCAGATGGCTATGAACATCTGGGAGGAGACTGTACACCAGCTTGTCAGAAGGGACTCCTTCCAACTGGGATTATAATGATCCTACACCACTACCTGAGCCATGTCTACCCAATGATCTACATGGGAAGAGATGCGCCAGTGAAATTTCAGCTGTACAGAATGATGTCTGTGGGGTTGGGGTAGCCTTTGATGGGAAAGTGGCTGGGATCAGGATCCTATCAGCATCAATCAGTGATACCAATGAAGCATTGGCCCTGAACTACAGTTATCAAGAGAACCACATCTATAGCTGCAGTTGGGGTACCAGATGATGGGAATAGCATGGAGGCACCCTCTTGATTGATCTCCAAGGCTATGCTCAATGGGATCCAAAAGGGTAGAGGCGGCAAAGGTAGTGTGTTTGTCTTTGCTAGCAGAAACAGTGGGGCTGTCAATCCCCTCCCAACAAGCTGTGATTGAGCCGGTTGAGCCATTTAAGGTCTCAAGGCCAGGAGCTCAAGACTGTATGACCATTTGCGGGCTGGGAGGAACCCCTCCCAGCCCAAAGACTTTGTTGAGTTTTCACCTCTCTGGCCTACTCTTCCCCAAATTCAACTCCTCATTCCCTCATTTTTTCTCTCTTTTTCTTTCTTGAATCTTCCTGAAATAGACTGAATTATAGTTCTCCATGGCTGGTTTTTTGTTGAATCTTATGCATCTTATTATTCTAATTAGAACTCTCAATAGAAATTTATCAACAACTCCTGTCTTAATGAGTGGCTTCTTTCTTTTTCTATTTTCATTATTTGATTCATTAAAATCTGATTGTCTAGAATTAACGACTCTATTCATTTGTGATGGAGAGTATGTTTTGTCATGATTAATATTACTAGCTTTTCTAAAAGAGACTGAGAAGACTTGTACGGTTATTTCTTCCATGAACTCATATTTTTCCTTCTCTCAGTTTTTATTCAAAATCATCTTTTATTCAATTTCTCTCAACCACACCTTTAACCTTTTGTATTTAGTCTATGCAAAACAGGCTACCTACAGTGAATAAAAATTATTGGTTCTCTCCCTCATTTTCCGTGAACCTCTCCCAAAAAAGGCCTTCAACCTTTTTTGTGCCCTTTTCTCAAATTCCTCAGTTTTCACCTGTCTTGAGTCTAAAATTCTAACTGACTTTTTTTTCTTTTTTTGTCAACAGCCTCAAGCCCCAGGGCTATTCCATAGGACCCAGGCCTGGGTCCTATGGGAGAAGGCTTGACCTAAACCCATATTCAATCGGGTTTAGGTTGCTGGTTGGTGTGCAGCACCGCACGCCAAACTGCTGGGGGAATGCCCCTGCAGATTGTTGGAGTGCAGACCTGCATGCCAATCAAAATTGGTGTGCAGTCCCACACTCCCCTCAGAGAAGGGAGTGTGGGAGTGAGTGCGCGAAGGGGGGGGAGTGTGTTTATCACTCACCCCACTAAGTCAACGAACTCTCCCCAGCCCCCCACCAAATCTAAAATGACAGCCACCCGGCCAGGCCTGACCATCATCCACTCCAAGAACGGTGTGGTGTGCTGTGCCTGTTCCAATGCCAAAAGCATACAGCAGAGGTGTTGGGATAGCATAGGTACATACATGTGACAATCATTACAAGAGAAGGAACAATCATTATGGATGAGGTGTGGTATATACGGACAGGATTACATACAACGCGTGGATTGGGAGAACATGTCTCGACCAGGAATGGAACAAAGGAGCGGTGTGCATACGAAGAGTGGAGTGGGAGATCATATCTCGACCAGGAATGGAACGGAGGAGCGGTGTGTAATAAGGGTACTTTATGTTTTTACGTAAGGGTACAGGGTACGGATTGTAGAAAGTGAAGGGAGGAAAATGTTGAGGCGGAGGGAGGAAGGAAGGAGTGAGGAGATGCTTTGACCCCCAAACTCTGGATGGAAGGAGATAACAGCAGGTCTGGCAGGCTGGTACTGCCTATGCAGAGTGTTCTGGAAGATGGCTTGGTTACCTGGCAACACATGACATCATGCTGCGCTTGGTTCTGGAAGATGGCTTGGTTGCCTGGCAATGCATGACATCATGCTGCGCTTGTGTGCTCCCTTGCATGCATATTATGTGACAAGGTCTGGAGTTAAGTGTTCCTAGCACAGCATAAGCTGCGCTATTTGTTTGGAGGCTGTGCGCAAAGGCTGTGAAGGTGAGATCCCCCGCAGCAATATTCCCTCACAAGGAGTCCCCTGCAGCAGAAATCCCTCACTCTTCAATATAAAAGAAGGGCCTCTCTCCACCAGAAAGTGTCTTCTCCCCATCAGCCTACAGAAGTCTCGCAGAGCAGTAAGTTGGTCCTGAGCTACTGGAAGTGTTCCGGAGTGTCAGTAAAGTGAAGAGTTAGAATTAGTGAAAGTTAGTTAGTTAGTGAAGTTAGTACATCAGCCTACTGCGGTAAGTTGGTCATAGTTAGTTAGTGAGTTAAGTAGTGAGTTAGTTAGTGATACGTAGCAAGTTACAACAGTATAGTGAGTAAGAAATCAACACAGAGTTCGGAATTTGAAGCATATTAGTAGTAGTAGTCATCATATAAGTAGTAGTACATTAAGAATTAACCAATAACAAGTAGTAGTAGTATTAGTACGGGAGCTCTAGTTTTTGATTAAAGTGCCTTAGCAAGAAATTGTTCGAGGAAGAGATCATTAACAAACTCTATAACAACTCATCTGTTTCGTGATCAAGTCATCAGCACCTCAGTTTCCATTATTAACCTGAAGTTGTAACAGATTCATTAGTAGATTGATACGTGATCTAGGTCTGATAGAGATTACTTTACAAAAGTAAGATATATCTTGGAATCAGCCATACATTATTAAATATTGATTACAAGACTCTTAGTTATTTGTTTAGTACATTTAGAGGGGCAGGTCTTGAAAACCACCCGTAAGTTGTAATAGCCTTTTCAACCTATCTGCAATTTATTTCCCCCTCAAGGGATCTTTTGATATACATATACTTTACCGTGTCTATCCGTCCCAGGAGTCCTACAACGGCACCACCCCTCTGAAGGAAGTTGATGCCGAGATTGTGGTACAAAAGGCCAACAAAGTTCTGGAAAAAATGAATGCTACAGTGCAAGGGGAGAAAGTAACAGTCAAAGAGCTGTCCGCTTCCTCCCATCTGGTGATGTCTCTTTCTATTCTAAGAACCGTCAACATAAGGACTGGCTGAATAAAAACAAACATCAGTGGATTAAGCAGATCCATCCAGAATTAGAGGCAACACCTAGCACATACTCCATCCTGGCCCACGGTATCTCACGTGCTTTCAACATTAACAGTGCCACTGGCAAGATTCAAATTGCAGCGGGAAGGGGGAGAGTGGGGCTAGTGCTCTATCACACTGCAGGTGGTGTGTTGGAAGGGTGGGAGGGGGAAGAGAGTGTTGAGTATGTATAGTAGATTTTAGGATGGCAATTTTGGATGAATTGGAAAAGGGTGGTGACATGTAATAAGAAGGTGGAAAGCCCTTTTTGGGGGTTTTGGTTAGGCATGTCCTAAGACCTGAACCCCAGGGTATGGGACCGGGGTAAAACCCTGAACCCCAAATTCGGTTTGAGCCTTGTGATTATGTAATCAAACAAAGCCAATTTTCCCAGTCTTTGGCTCACCCTTCGAAATTGCTGAACTCCACTCATTTTACATCTCAAACCACAATGGCTCGCATCTCCACGAAAAGATTGACCAAAGTACAGCCCATCTGTCTCTTTTATGTCCTACCATTCTTCTTTGCGTGCTGACTAAACTGAACGTCAAACCGTTGTTTTGTATCTCAGGAACTTTCAGATCTCCAAGACGGAGGCTGCCCCGTGGGATGTGCACTGATCCAAGCTGATGATGTGAACAAGTTGAAAAGCAGCAGGATTTTATTCCATCCCATCTCATCAAGATTGCTGATAAACTGTTCTTATCGCCCTCATGATTGATCCCTGATTCACCGGGAAAAATTTCGCAGCTCGTCGAATGGAAAATAAAAATTACTGGACCGCCCGAAACGCTGTACTCGAATGAGAACTTTCTACTTCGTTTTCGATTCGTCAGTTTTGAATGTTTGATATTCTGCTTATGTAGTTTGTGAAGTTGTGAAAGAAACTGACATGTGGACTCCGTTGTCAATAGTCTCCCCAGTATCCTATCGAGGCACCTGAGGTCGTCTTCTTCGTCAGTCCATCAACCGCAACCGGGCACTCTGAGAAAGGTCCTGAAGAGGAGAAATGGGCTGCGCCCGAACATCCGCACATCTATGTTTGCAATGTTTTCATTCTATCAGCTTGAGCGCACCAACTGACCGCTGTCCCTGCCAAATTATTGTAGAGTAATGGTCATATCTGCGCTTCCATACTTTCGACAGGCTGGAGTCCGGTATTGAATTGTGCTGCAATTTGCTTGTAAGTATAGTGACTCTCATTTCCATTCCACATTCCGAATGAATCACATGTTTGAATCCTGACAACCGTTTATCTAGGACCATACAATCTATGTTAGCCTCTTGCAAAAAGAAGGAACGACCTGTTGACAACGACCGATACGTGCGGAACGCTCCCATATCACCCAAGGTAAACTAAGCACCCTTCTTAAACTTTGTGGGCGGAGGACTGAGATTGATTGAAAACAAAAAATTATCTCAACATTAACAACCCATTATCTCAACATTTCCCACAGAATACTCGGTGGCACTTCGACGATGATACTGTTTGAGCTTGAGGTCTATTCTTCCCCGAGACTTCACAAAGTCATACTTCGATGATGACACTGTTTGAGGTCGAAGTCTAATCTTCCCCACGACTTCACAAAGTCATTGAAGTCCAACCGATGAACTTATGAGCTGTTTGCGTTCGACGGTAATCACCGATGAATCAACAGCTGAGACTCACCTTGATATTATCAGTCTTTGTGACATCGCTTGTTCTTGTAGTTTTTCGAACTGTCTGCTATCCGGTTTTCGCATTCCATTGTTTGTTGTACTTCTCATTTCCAGATACATCATACAGGCTCGCTACCCACTCATGTATGTTCCGCAGATCAAAGACTCCACCCCCCCCCCCCCCCATGTCCTTCCTGATGAATCTCTAGTTTCTGCAATGTACATTTGATAGGGCTTGTGCTAATGGCCACTGGCAACCGTGTGTGCCCGAGTGCGCGCCTCTCGCCCCATTTATTTTGCCCGTCGGCGACTCCGGAAAAAAATGTGCACATGTATGTATTTCGAGTCACGCAACTCTAAGGCCAAGCGCATATCTTTCATTTTTTTTTCCCAAATGGGAGTTGACAAAAAATGACAGCAATTGAGCGTTTATTCACTCAGTAGATTCTGTCTCCGATAAGGCATCCCCAAGTGAGAGATTACTGCCACATAGAAACAGCCCAGGTTTATGATTCAACCAGAGTCCCTTCCCTTGCAGCAATTTCATCAAAGTGATGAAGCGGAATCCAGGTTTGTGATTCAACAAGAGTCCTTTCTCTTGCAGTAATTTCAAAGTGATGAAGCGGAAACATCAAAACAACAAACATCATCACAATCGCCTTGAGTTGAGGCACCTGCAATACACACCATGGGGTATGACAAAATATGACTTCAAAGCAAGCCGAAAAAGAGAAAAGGAATGAAGTGTATAGGAGATATTTCAGGGGTGCAAATTTGAAGAAAGAAGTTCTGAGGGCACAACTGTTGGACCACCGCTTTGAGGCGCCTACGCAACCTTCACAGGGCGCAGCTCCCATTGGGTTGCGTTTCTGTGAAGTTGGATCCTGACATCGCGTCCGATAGCTGCCGAGCCCAACGTTTGTTGGCTACCAAGAATATCGACCATTGCACCATCGCGTCCTGCTTTTAACAACGTCACTAGATTGTTGGGATCAAAAGGTTCATCTCTCAGATGCTGGGTGCCTTTGAGGGATAACCATGAGAATAAAACCAAGAAGATCGTCGTAATCGTGATCAACAAGATTGGCACGATTCCAATGATTGTGCTTTTGATGCTCTCGTTCGCCTTGTGCCATCCAAGGGTTTCATAGGACCACACGCCATCGAAGCGGGTTGTCCATTCAGGTGAAAGATCGTGAATCGAAGCTGTGAGTGGATGGAATTGTTAGGAAACATGTACATCTCGGCAATTTATGGGTGAATAACTGGTGATTGCTAACCGGCCATTATATGACCACGCCCGGCGCTGAGGGGTGGTGTTTTATCGATCTGAACATTGGTGTGTCAGTATGGGGGTGAATGAGAATGCAATGATTCTGAAGCAAGAGATTTTAACAATTCAACTGACCGTGGCGCGGGTTTCGATGAGACCACGAAGGTAAGCTTCCTAAATTCAATTTGGTCAGAGTTTATAAGAGTCAGTGGACCGGGCTACTTATGGCTCAGGAAAAAGTATCATGGCAAACCAGAATGGTGTTTAGCAACGGGTCATTGGAAGAGTCGATGCTGGATGAGATTCCGTACAGAGCAGCCACGTCGTCGCCAACCTTGTTTCGCTGATTGGCCACATATTGCGTCATGGCATCCTTCACTGCGGCATATACCGTATAGGTGATGGGAGCTGTTAAAGGTGTTACAGGCTCTCTGGAGATAACTCGGCTGACGTTGACGATGTTGGAATACTGGACTTCAGCAAGCGTGAGGTAGGGCGTGAATTGACATGCGCGCGGTGTGATATAAGAGTACATAGGACCATAGCCTGCCAGAACCAACACTGGTTTGGAATGCGGCGTCAGTCAGCCACGTTTGTCACCCGTCGACACAGAGGTTATAAGCTTAAGACTGACGTTGAGAACCAGGAACTTCTTGGCCGTCGAAAGTAACGCCTGAGCAGGTTTCACTGAGGAGCATGCTACCGGTTGAATTCATTATGATTGATTGATTTGTGGGCGGTGGGGGCAAATCTAAGTGGGATCATAACTTTTAGTCACAGGGCAAGGGCGGGTTGAATATGTGGATCTCAGGAACACTCACTTTGACTCGGACATTGAACAGAATATCTCCACAGAGAGCTATTCAAGGTTTGGCCGGGAAGGGTGACGTTGTTCTCAAGTTGGACCCTCATAGCTGGTTCTTGGGCAGTGGGGTTTGCTGGGAGGGCTTGACACTTCACATCAACCGTAAATCCCTGCTGAATGGTGGTAAAGTTGAAGGAAAATTTCTTGGAAGGCTTGAAACTCGGATCCACGAATTGGAACGCAGGTTTATAACGTCGAAAGTTATGGTTGAAAGGACGGTCTGAGTCTACCTCCATGGCATCTTGCATGGCAGGAACAGCTGGGACAATCCCTCCTTAAAAAGTGAATTGACAAGTCTAGTTAGCCCATGGAGGATCCAAATTTATATAGCTCAGCTTACCAGTAGTCGAGTTGAATGAGGTTCCCAAATAAGTGATGACTCCAGGATAACCAAGTTCCCTGCTGGCAGAAGTATAAGCAGACGTCAAACCAACAGGGCCAATTACGGCAGAAATTTGTTTGTTTATTTTGGCTTGGTCTACAGATATTCTGGGGAAGGCTTTAGATTTTTCGGGATCGGCCACGAGATGGGCGAATGTTTCACTGAATAGATTAAATTCTGTTCCTCTGATGGGCACATTGACTACCATGGGGGTAGGGGTGATAATTGTTGTAAAACTTTTAACGACGTTCGCAGGATTAGCAATTATTTCCTGTTTCTTATTGGAAATTCCAATCAGAAACAATTGTCGGATGACGCACCTTGCAGTCAGGGAGTTCACTAGGACCAATGCCAACATCGACAGAATCGTCCAGCTGATGTGATGCCGCGAGAACAGGGGGGCTCCTCGGGACAGACTCGAGACGGTCAGGAAATTGATCAGCGGCGCGGGGCGGTTAGAGTGTGATGTGAGATACAAGATGAGGCCTTTGGAAAACAAACTAGAAATTATAAAGACGATATTGTATTAGCCATTATGCTTGTGTAGTGGGTCACTCACAGTTCCTGGCACGGCTCACAACTTATATCGAGAGCCTGCTTCAAAAACGACAAGTAACCCACTCTACATGTGTGCTTCCATTTAAAAAAATTCCTCACAATGTTGAAAGAGAAGAGAACAAAGTCGCCAGAATAGTCACGCAAAAGGCTAGGCCACGAGGAGAGTCATTTGCCCATTCGGCTACATTCTTCTGCATCGGGGTGTGCGTGAAGTGGATGAGGATGAAGAATGTCAAGGCTACTGCCAAGATGGCTAGTTGCCCAATGACAATGATACATGCCCAAGAGGAAACTTGAGTTAACCTATGTATGTAAGAAAGAATCAGCCTCTATGCCGTGTTGTGGGATTAGTGAAAGAAGTGAGAGAAGGCACAGACTTCGAACTTGATGATTTGGGGATCAGCGACGCCCCGCTTTGAGCTCCCTTTTCGTCAAGTGCCTCTACATCGAATTGGGCCGGCGAGCTTGCTGCATCCTTGTCCGAGTATGTGGGCGATATTAGAGGCTCATTACCGTGCGCTTCCTGGGTATTGGACTTTGTGTGATTCGGAGTTTGGGCCATACAGTAGGCGGGTGCGGTATCAATGTACCGGGTTGTGGATAAAGAACGATAATAAATTCGATGAGACGAGGGGACAAAGAACCTTCGATACCTTGGCAAGAGTTTGGAGCGCTAGATGCACACTCACACCGAAAAGTCTGACGGAACGAATGAGGCTATGAGCGTTCGAGGACAAATGACTGCACAATGTCAAAACCGAAGAGAAATTAAAATCAAAGTGCTGGCAAGGATTGTACGTGTACAACGCAGCTCTCTTCCCACAAGTGTCCAACAGCTGTCTGGTGCTGGCATTTGAAAATTGTCAAGGAGTGTCTTGCATCTCCCAGGGCCCTGGAATGCTAGAGCCCGAAAGAGACATACCCTTCAATCTCCCTAAAATTTGAGGATACCGTGTTAAGAGCGTGAATTGAAACCATAAGCAGGATATTCTGAACTTGTAAAAAAAACAGATTGTTATTGAAAGTCCCCAAATGCAGGTCAGGGATATCCCCACTGCAATGGCGAGATCATGAAGGCCATCCCATTTGGGAAAGCGGCTCTTACACCAACTGACATTGACCGCTACCGGTCATCGAGAGGGCTACACACTCTCAAAGGCCTGTACCTTGACGGCTGGTGCCGGTCATTCAGAGAGGAGCTGCACCCTCATCAAGGCCAGTATTGGCCATCAAGAGGAGGGGCTAGTCCCGGGTATCAAGACTGTAGCTCTCTGTACCTCTCCACCAGGAGAGGCACGCTCTTGACAGCCGACACCGGTGATCAAGAGAGAAGCCACATTCTCTCAATGGCCACCACCGGCCATCGACACAAAAGGCATGTTCTCTCGATAGCCGGCGCCTCTCATCAAGAAAGTGTAGAGAACTGGGTGCGGCCACCCCTCTCTTGATGACCGGTGCTGGCCATCGAGAGAATATGACTTTTCTGTCGATGGCCGGTGGCCGCCATCAAAAAAGCGTAGCGGGAGGGGTGGCACTGGAGCCCTCTTGATATCCGGGCTGAAAGCAACAACGGCAAAGCTCACCACCAGTATGTCGATCCTCAGGCTTGGATAATTGCTTCTGTCTGGTATCGAGTGTTGGTCTGCATTGCTACCGTGATGGATGAGCCAAGTTTTTTTATTCTTCTTTTTTTCTATTTTGTATATTACATACCTAGATACATGTGAATATCCTGCTTATCGTTTCATTCTCGCCATTTTGGCAAAAGAAATGAGAATAACTCCACTTCCAGGCAAGAGATGAGGTCCTGGTTTTCACCAATGCAAAGCCCTATGTCTTACCCAATGCCTGCTCAGCTCTCATGGCACATTTATACCCCTTCCCTCTCAAGTTAAGGAAGAAAGAAGAAAGAATGGGAATTACAAAATCCCAACAGCATGTATTCCCTCATGACCATCAATGCAAGGACTACGCTTAGCCCTTCAGTTTTCTTAGTTCTGGGGGTCTAGAACCAAGGATTTTGTTTCAGAAAAATAGACAGGAGAGAGAGAGAGAGATCTCACATGTACAATTTGTGAGAATCAAGGAAAGGTTAGAAGTTGAAGCCAAGAGAAATCAAAAAAGAACACCTACCTAGATGGTAGAGAGAGATCTCTGCCTTCTAAGACCATCTCCACCCAGGGAGGTAAACTGCATGGGTAAACCAAATTTACCTCCCCAAGCCCAAAATTCCCCTGCCACTGGGGGTGCTAAGGGGGAGGTCAATTCAGTTTTCCCCCCTCAGGTTGTATAGCATTGCCAGATGTGCAATTGCTATACCAACCCATGTACCTCCCCAACCCAATGGTTTCACAGGGTCATCCTTGTGAAATCCGGACTCCCCCCCCCCTCCGTGGGAGGGCCTTTCACAACCAACACCTCAACGGCCAAGACGGTTTCCATTGGCCGTTGAGAGTGTGTACCCTCAACAGCCGAGACCAATTGTCTTGGCCGTTGAAGTGTATAGCCTCAACGGCCGAGAGGAATTGTCTCAGCCGCTGAGGTGTGTGCACTCTCACGGCCAAGGGGTCAACTCCCGGCCGTTGAGTGTACCTCAGCGGCCGGGAGGAATCCTCCCGGCCGCTGCCCTGGGTATTTCGGGTCATTGACCCCCAAACCCCGGTTGGTTTGGGAGGCTGACTCCCAAACCGACCGGGGATTTGGATTTTTTATTATTATTTTTCTTAGGGAGTCGACACCCAAACCAATCAAAGGTTTTGGGGGTTTGACTCCCTTTTTTTGGGGAATCTGGGGCTTGGGAGTCGGCTCTCCACTTTTTGGGAGTCATTTAACCAAGCCCCTTATCTAATTGATTGGGCATTCTAACACCTATATTTGTGTTGCCAAATGGGGCCTTAGTCATAGATATTTCTAAAAAGAGGAACAGCATGCTGAAAAAGGCCACATTCTTCTGTCTATGGCCACAAGAATTGAGATAAAACCACTTACAGAAAACTAGAGATTGTTTGTTTGGACCTAGGTACCTGCAGGTACCTAGGTCTGAACAAACAATCTCTACAGAAAACTCAAAATCTGGCAATGATCTTGTGCCGAGGTGCTAATGATAGTGTATAGCATGGGTAATGGGTAAACTGGTTGCTACAGGTCACCAATGCTTCAACTTCAAGGTTGCAACACCCCATGGGTACTCCAAAATACTTCAATGGTGTAGCACTTCACTCCTCATCTCAGGGGCTGGCATAGACCAGTGAAGAAAGCCAAAGTTGCAGGGCCCACTTTCCAGACAGGCTCAGAATAATCTTGTTTTCAGGAGGAAGTATATCATCAATCTGAGACCAGTTTGTTGAATGGTGTGAGCATCATAGCTTCCCAGCTTCTGACATCTATTTCTGAACATTTGAAATCTTACAAGCAACATATCAGAACCTTTTGACATGTTCACTGCTTCAATTTATTTGCTGGGTGAGTATGTCCCAGTTGGACTGGCTTGTCCAACATATTAATTGATGGAGTGTTGGTATTGAGGGGCATTTGTAGGATGCATTGGAAAATGTATACCTATGCTGTGACAGTCAGTGAGAGTATTACACCCCAAGCAACTGAAACCAAGAAAATGATATTGCACAAGATCGCAGTATCAATTGATCTGGATTGAGATGGCATTGGCCCATTACAGCCTTTCTAGATAGTGTGTATGTTTCACTTTTCCTGACCTTGTACGGACGAGCGGAAGGAAGCAGGAGAGAAGTGTCCTGGAACAGGTGAATACATGGAGTGCATAGGACGGTGGGGTCTTTTTCATTTCAGGCATGCGAAGTGGTCTAAGGAAAGATGACAATCGAACAGGAAGGGTGCATAACGATCTCTGGTCGGGCAAAGGCAAACGTAACATTGAAATTTCATGCAGCATGTTTTTGCTTTGACGATTTCAATCGTCGAAGGTAGACTGGTGTTTGTGAAGGGGAATATAGTACAAGGTGGGTAGGATAAAAGATATGAGAAATGGATCAAAACAAACACAATTGGAAAAGGCGGACACAAAGAATGGGTAGACAGCATATATCAGTTAAATGGTAAGGGGACCCATTTGGTAAAGGCAATAGGGCGACTTACACTCAAGCTCTTTACCCTCGAGAATGTAACCATCACAGCGTCCACTTTGACCGGGTCGGGAAGCAATGGAAGCGTAAAGTCTACCAGCCTGGAATTGAGTTTCCAGCATGTGGTCGATCTTGCCTGTCAGACGTCGTTGTTCAAGTTTCTGGAGAACAGATTTGGATTTTTCCTTGGCAGCTTCTCCGGTGGGTTCTTCAGCCTTGGCGAGCTGAAGGTAAAACGATCGGGGCCCAGATCGAAGGTCATGTTAGAGTTCACCTTCAATCAAGTCTTGGGTGATTGTGAGGGGAGAGAAGAACGGTCACCGACCTTGCCTCGCTTGGTGACGGGTTGACCATAGTGGGACTCGTACCACTGACGGAAAGGGGTGGCATCGATTTGAATGATAGCACCCTTGACAAGGGTGTTGGTTCGGACCAGCTCGTTGTTGGTGGAGTTGTAGACGACGCCAATGACACGAGTCTTGCGAGTGACTCGCTCAGATCCCCACGAAAAGTTGCCAGCCTCGAGTCTCAAGGCGCGGTACTTCAAGTTGCCACCACGAACCCGGACGGTGTGAATTCGTTTGGCGCCCAACTTGGTCATAGCTGGTTGACGACCGAGTTCGAATTTTCTCTTCTTGCGGTACTGGGCACGTTTGCTGGATGGTTATATGAGGTTCAAAAGAATAAATGAATGTATAAATATGTGATTGGTCTATTAATATCCATGCTTCGAAGGGAGTTTGATGGGTGCAATGCTAGGCCGCGACGAAAGAGGCTTCGACTTACGCCCCAGTAGCCGAACGCTTGTGTCGAGAGTCTCTTGAAATACTCATCTTGAGGGCAGCCTTTTGGAGCGGTTGAGGTCGATTAAGGTTAGTTAATACCAGCGATGGATGGAGAATGGAGGGGGATGAGGGAAAACCTACTTTGGCTGATCGGATTCCGGGACTCGGGCGTAGATGGTCTCAGCGGCGGACGGGCAGGGTGAGGTTTGGGGCGAGTGACCCAGGCTGGGCGGAAGAGGGGGGCCGCAGGGCGAGTCTCACCATCGGTTAGGTTTCGCAACCCTAACCGATTCCCCCAGCCGGGTGGTCTCGGTCCAAGCCACCGCTCCCCCGGTCGGGCGCCATCCAACTTTTTCCCTCTGCAGCCAGCCATCTCGGAGACCAACCTCATCAGCAACAACGGAAGCCCCACTCAGCCTTCCTGGTATCCAGCCTCAACTGCTATCTGATCGATCAAGGTAACTCGCACCCGACTCTTTTTCAAGCACAGTAAGTCAGTCCGCCCCCCGCCGCCTTTCGAACAACCGCGCTGACTAGCATTCTCTTCCGAACCTCCAGCCGCTCGATCTCCACACCATGTCTCACGATAACGTCTGGAACAGCCGTCCCCGTCTCTACGGTAAAGGCTCCCGTTGCTGGTCAGCATTCTTCTTCATTTTCCATTCGCCCCCCTTGAACTGGGTGAATTTGTCCAGGAGTTCTGATCATGATTCCTCACCGGTGAAAATTTGGATCACGATGCGCCTAACAGCAAGGTCTGCAACCACGTTGCTGGTTTGATCCGAAAGTACGGCCTCAACATCTGCCGTCAGTGCTTCCGAGAACGGGCTGCCGCCATCGGTTTCGTCAAGGTTAGCAAGCCTGCTTCCAATGATATTCTCTCCTCACGCCCCACTGACGCTTGAATATTGTTTGCCGCCCTCCAACTCATTCACTTATCTAGCATAATTGATCCCTCAACATGAAGTGCTTGTACATAAGCTTACCCTCTGCAGCGAATAAAATGCCACTCGAATTCGATGTTAAACCTCTTGCAAACGTAATCAAGTGATGATGGGTATCGCAAATTGATCTGTCAGAGATCAAACACCTCAGTTGTGCCCCTCTTGATTATCATGTCCTCTGGGCAACTTCGGCAACCCACCTGCCCCAGACCCAAAGACCTTGCAGCAGCGCGTTACCAAACGTTTGTCTGAGTGATCAGGACGTTGAACAAGGTATCCTGTCAACACAAGCCAAACCTCAACTAGGTTTCGTGTCCTATCATCTGTTGACTGATCAGGATAACATTTATCCTCCTGAACTGAGTTTATGTCTTCTTGCAGCAGGGTCCCCATCTGATTTGCTGTAAGGTGTTTTTGACCAGAAACCAAGCACCCCCATCTAGTACATCGTCCCATCCCTCTGTAGCGCCACAGCCGCCTCTCTTGAGTCCGTGGAGTCTGGAGCAGGTGGAGGCAGACAAACAAGATCCAGAAGAAAGAACATTTGGCTCACACGTGCCAAACTGCTCATGCCATCCATGACTCTCCAAGTTAACCGATCGGTGACCTCTTTGCTGGCACCAGAACTTGTTACATTTGTCATCATCCTGAGCCCAACACATGCGTATCTAATTGTGTGGCGCACTTTCTCCATCAAATTAAATAGACTTTGCAAGGAGAAATATTTAGTTCCAGAACACAAATTGAATTTCTACATCCAAGTCGTTCCTCTATATCAGTTTGCTGAAAGTCTCTAACATATGAAAGAAATACAATAAGAGGAAGTTAAAATATCATGAAGTAAGACTGAAGGCATCTAGGATGAAAAAGATCTATAGGATAAAGAGAAATAGACGATGACATGTAATCAATGGGGTTTTCAAATTGAAACAGAGAAGAGTCCAAGTATGGTAAAACAAAACAACAACCGAAGGATTATGAATGAAAGGTTTGGTGAGTAGGATGGTTAGTCTTGAAGGTAGTCGCAAATTGCTTTGAGGGTGGTTTCCAGGAATTGTGATATCGTCTTCTCTCCAGGATCCCCCTTGGAGGGTTCCAGGAGCACCACATCTTTGCCCGCCCATGAGTCCCGATCGAGCGCCGCAGTTTCCACTGCACCTTCTTTAAACATGTGACTATGGGCTAGTAGATAGGCCGGCCAGATGATTTGGTCCCAGTACCCTGCGGGATCTTTCCATGTCATGCCATCTAATCGAGAAAAAAAGGAAATGATTAGATGTGTTTGTAAGTAGGACAAACAGAAGAAAGGGATGTCTGACCAGCCGTGTGATAGGTTTGACGGATCCGACGTCGCTCCTTCAAGACATCATAGGACTCTCTAACAAAGAACTTGAGGTCGTAGTTCTCAACACATTCCCGATCCCAATACAACAGAAAGCCATCCAAGATGATGAATCTTTTCGGGAGCTTCAAGGCCTTCAGACGGTCGACCCATCCCGCGTAGTTGTGAGTGTCCAGGTCTATCGGATCGGCGGCGGTGTTCAAGTTGTCGTGCGTCATCGGTAAGGCTTCATTCGTGTTCGTCTTTAATTGCGCAATCGTCTTCCTCAATCGACTCCAGTCTATCCTGTTTTAATCATCAAGAGGCAATGTGTGTTTTTCGTTGAGTTTATATCTGATTATAGTGAAATTGCAAGAAGGAGCGTATATTTAAGATAGTTTTTTTTTTTTTTTTCACTCACGCTCCTCTTGGGTCATCCCAATCTGGGACTCCATGTACGGGATGGATCGGGATCTCCTCAGACTTGGGCGCGAAGTCATCCTGGTGTAAGATCTCTGAATTTGGAAGCACCTTTTGCAAGTTTTTGGCCAAGCTAAGTATCACGTTTTCACGCCCGATAATTTATCGTGGTTTGTGAAGATTATCCGGTTGAAGGGAAAGGCCGCAAATGTGAACAGGTGGAGAACGGAGGCGAGGTTTGTGGTCAGCGTGTACTATTGAACTACGCCATGCTGAAGATGAGTTGACAGTACATACGTTGTTTTTCCAGAACAAGTAGGACCACCGATCGCTATGATCAAGACATCCGGATGATGACTCTTAATGGTAGTCATTTAGGACTCGACGCTTGAAAGATAACGAGGAAACGCGTAGACGATATGGCTGAAGGATGAACCTGTACAATCAATTCAGGAGATGTATGGTTAGTGTCTGGACTTGTTTTCTTTCGGAGAGGTTTTTTGAGAGAATAGATTTGGATCTAGTGGACTGGTTCCTTACCGATATTCGAATCCCGACTCATTTGCAATCGATGTGGTGAGCTGAGACTTCACCCGAGCGGGTTGAGGGAGTGAGCAAGCCAAAGTTTTTTTTCTGGATAGTTTCGGAGTTAGATATAGTTCACCGCTGTTCACTGCCAGTGGGCTCTTAGTTACACATGCACAGCCACGAAACTTTACAGCAGCTCGGCTTCACTCAACTCTTCCACTCCACATAAAGAAAACATGTATTACTTTTGTTAAGAGGAGAACTAAGAGACCCCGAAACATGCATCCAATTAAAACAACAAATCATGGAACCAACACGTCACCATGCATGAAATCAAAATCATCTGGCTATCCTGAAATTGTGGCTACCATGTGTTAATTGGTACTGTGCAAGATTGAGGAGGGAAATTCCATCAATCATTATAAAGACCTCTGCAGTCTCGGTACCGTGGAATTGAATATTGAAAAATCATTATTTTTTTCTCCTCTACACAAAAATTCAAAACAAATGTAGAGGTCTGTCATTTAAATTCTTCACTTTTAGGACAAAAAATTGCCTTTGGTGCTGGTAAGTTTTGATGGTATGAAAAATTGAGGAAAATAACGTTTGAAAAGTTCTGGAAAATGAAATTTTCATGCCATATGGTACAGGCCCTGAGTTTAAGGGAGGTAAGATTCTGGGATGTTGTGCGCTTGGATACGGTCCAACTGTACCAGCTTCCTGAAATCTTCATAGTACCTGTTAATTTCGGCAAGGTCCGAATCCCATGCTGCTTTGTACCACTGAATGTAGGAATTGGTTTTGAGTAGTTGGGCTTGTTGAGGATCACTTTCCAATGAACGGCTGAGGCTCGCGTAATGGTTGGCAGCTTCCTGGAACTTCGTCCAATAAAACGCTCCTTTTTCCTCCCAATCTTCTTCGTTAACTCTGGGGTTGAAAAGCTTGTCTGTCGCAAGTGTCCAGCCATAGTCCATGAGGATATTCTTCCATACATTCACTTCCCCGGTTGATTTCATGAATTCGTAAGCAGTCTGGTACTCCACGCTGTCGTGCTCTTGCACCTTTAATCCGAGTTTTTCGACGTAATTCCGACCAAGCTTGCCATCCATAAAGTTCAAGATCAGGAATGAGTAGCGCATCAGGTGATGCTGCACCTCGGGATTATGTGATAGCGCGGCTGGGTCTACCAAAAATTTCCTGCAGTTCAATATCTCCTGCTGTACCTCTGAAAAATCCAAGTCTACCGAATTGGCATGGGAGTCCTTGGGCTCGAACTCCTTCAAGAGAATTTTTTCCATCTTTCCAAGAAAATTCATGTGCCAGGTTCCTTGAATAGGAATCGGGCCGGAAGTAGCTTTCTGGACTGAAAATAAGTAGTCGTAAAGTTCGGTCATCGATAGTTTGAGACTGTGGAACATAACATAATTTTGTTCCTTTTTTCCAAGTCCTGACAGAAACATTTTTGGTTTCAATTTCAGAGTAAGTATGTAAGTATCCAGGCTGGAGCAAATAACTTCCATGCCAATTTTCAATAACAAGGAGGGGAATTTCTGGATCGGACAACTCACCCTTGTACAAATTTGCTAATTGCGACAAATGTGGATGATTTTCCAAGAATTCCGCTTCATTCAAGGGCACGTGAAACTTGAGCCCGTACTTGGAGCCTGGCAGGAATGCGCCCTGCATTTCTTTCGCTATCCATTCTAGGCCAGAGGGACTTTTCATCGTCATTTTAAAACCATCCTCTAGATCAGTAGGCATCATCTTGTATTTGCTCAAGTAGTCAAACATTTTCAGTATACAGCTTTTCGAAGCGAGTCCAACATATGAGTAGTACGGCGGCAAGGTTGCGAGCGTATATAGAAGTTCGAAGAGCCTAGGAATCCCTTCCTTATAGACCTTGACAAAATCTAGCAAGCTTGGGTCTGAAAGTTGGCTGGATGATTTGAGGATTAAAGATTTCTCAGGTGGCGTCTTCGGGGGGCCATAGATGGACAGTGCAGCGTTAGCGACCACTGTTAATTCCTCATCAATCTCCTTCAGCGTCTCAATGCCAGATTTTTCTACGTGTAATTCCGGGGCGTTTTCAATAATTTGAGTTGCGAAGACTATCCTAATTTCTCTGTTAGTCCAATCAAGCAACTTGGTCATCGAATCGTAATCTGCTTGCTTTTGAGCCAAGTTCTCTAGCGCTGAAGCTGTTGTTTCAGTTAAATCCTCCTGTGAGTGTGACCATCAAGCAACGTTTTACTCACCCTTCTCGTGGTGTGTACTCAAGTCGTGTTCACTTGCAGCAATTTCTAGAGGATGAGTGTAATGTTAGTCAACAAAGCTCCAACTCACGATTCTCCGACACTCACTCGTTTTCTCAAGTCCGCTACCAATATGTTGATGCTCCATCCGGTTCCGAATTGACTCAGTCTCGATAATCTGCTTATCAGCCTCGCCCCCCTCCTTGGCGCCTCCGTTTGCATCTGAATACTCGATGGTTGTTAGCTTTTTTGATCTATACATCACATAGTCTTGGAATGAAGGGCCAGCCCTCACGATTTTCAATCGGACTTGTTGCTGCGACCTTATCAGGGGCAAGCTCCCGGCCAGCGTTGTGCGAGGTTTCTAAGGGCGCAGTATCGTCCAGTTTCCGGGGAAGAGGGGGTCAGAGTAGCTCCATATACACAGTCCGCCGCGACTCTTCCAAGTTTATCGGCGGCAAGAAAACGAGCATGTGAATGGATTCATACCTGCGATTTCACATTCAGCCTCCTTCGCTTTATCCAAACTATCCTTCACAAGAGAGGGCTTGCAAAAGGAATTGTCCGGGAGTAGCAGTAAAGCTAATATCAAAACTAACGTTTTCAGGTTCGTCATAGCGGAGTGTCTGTTATTATTCGATGATCGGTTAGGAAATGTGGTGTGAGTGAAGGATGAGATATTTATAAACAACGTGGAAAGGAGGGCGGGACGGCTCCCGGACCGGGATTGTTGATGCGGTGGCTGTATGACATCCTGATTGATAGCAACTTCTTTCAAACCGGATCGGTATGCAGGGGTATGGATATTCATCCGATTCCTTTGCGAGACATCTTCCTTAAACCGACATCAGATTCTTACCGTTTCATAACAGCATTGAGCGAGAACATTAGAGCCGATGTATGTACAAAGTGGTGTTGACGAGCAACTTCATCCCAGTTCATACCCCTTGTTGATGACACAGTTCCCCCAGACTGTCAGACGTGTAGCCAAAGCTGTAGGAATGGAGCTGGCTTGTTTTTTTCTCGAAACCGTCCCGAAAAGTGCATCGCCCTTTTTCAGGTGCACGCTGTATCTTGCTATGTCATCTTATTTGTCAAGGGGGGGGGGGGGGGATCATCCAAAAAGTTCGTCGAGAAAACAAGTATAAGCTGATCAAGATCAAGATCAAGGTAGTTTTCCGGAATGTGTGGCGTCAGTCAAGAGGAAGAAGCGGCTACATAGCTTGGTGCCAGATCTGCACCGCCGGTCGCCTGTCTCAGCAATGTCAGCCCGGCCCCAAGGACGCGCCAAACAGCGCGTCCAACCTGATTATCAGGAACTTAGGTAGTATTGGGCATTGGCCGCCAAATTTGGGACGTTTTGCTTTGCTCCTTGGCTAGTAGGCACAGACCACACATGCTTTCCAAGGAGGAATTGAGGCAGAGATTAATTCTCCCAAAAGATGGGACAGACTCAAAACATCCCAAGTTGGTTGAGATGATGTCCCCAAGTTTGGGGGTTGTTGCTCCAATTCCTGGGAGTTGTTTATCACATTCCCTACCTCTAATGTCACTACTCACTTGAAATTTGTTGGAATTTCACCACCGTGTCGTCTCTCTTCCTCTGTCATTCTTCCTCCTGTCACTCTCATTTTCTTCCCTCCAGATGAATATGCAGTTCACCTTCTGTCCCACAACCTGGCCCCTCTTAGTTGTAATAGATAAACTAGCTTCTCAGACAGAAAGGAACACCATCTGCTCTCTGCGCGCATTTCCCTGAGATTTCCAAAGCATACATTACAATCTCATGTAACGTGTGTGCTCTTCCAACATGCAAGCTAGCAGCTCCTAGCCCTTTTTCAAGCTCTGCAACCTTGTTTTTCCTCAAGCTTTGAGGGTTGAGTTTTCTTCCCCGGTTGCTCTTCTCCTCTCTCAGTGTCTTCATCAACAAATTTCATCCAAATTAAATCAAGCAAAATGAGTGGACAGAAAAAAAAAGAAATTGTGCACAAGCCTGAGTGCCACCCCTCTGACTCGGATCACCAATGCTATCCTCAACCACTTCAGTTCACTTGCTCAATCAGTTGTTTCCTGCTTTATAGAGCCTCCAAACTGATAACAAAGTAAGTCTACAGCTCACTTTCCTTACTTCTGGAGGATCACAAAACAAAGATAAAATTAAAAAACAGCCCCTCAACAAGATTTTGTGACCCCCAAAACACAGGTTGCTTGTGTAATTGGTGCTTCACCTCTCCTTTTTCACATCAAATTTATTTCCTGCATAGATCCATTGACGCAATGATTCTCCCCCAGCTGCCTGGAAATTTCAGGGAGGAATCCTCCTTGTTGGCTTGGTACAGGTGGTACCAGTTTTCCAGTTGACATGCAAAAAGCTCTAACCACAGACATGCAACAAGCTCTAACCATAGACATGCAACAAGCTCTAACCACAGACATGCAACGAGCTCTAACCACAGACATGCAACAAGCTCTAACCACAGTTCATTATGTTTTAGTGGTACTGCCCCAAGGTGTCAAAGGGGTTCACCAGAAGAATGTAGAAATAAATTGGAAGGTTGTCTCAATTAATTGCATATCATGATTGAAGTTCTTGCATCATCATGTCTACCAATGGTGCAACAGCTACACTACATTTAGTGTAGTTTTTAAGCTAAGTAGTTGCAGCCACTACACTACACTGAAAGTGTATTGCTTGTCACACTACAGTTACAGCTAACCAAAATTTGTAGACAATAGTAGTATTAGCTGTGGTTGGCCCCTAATTAGCTGTGGTTGGCCCCTAATTAGCTGTGGTGGGCCCCTAATTAGCTGTAGTGGACCACTGATTAGCTGTAATTTATCTGTGTTGATGATCAAACTCCCCTACCCTCCCCGCCCGCCTGTCTCTGAGGGGTGGGTTTGATTGCATGCCCCAGAGGTGGGAGGACTTGCCTGCCCATCAAGGACCAAGATATTCTTGGTTCTTGACTGGTGTAAACACTGCAACAAATACAATACACAGGTTGTATCATGAGGAATTGTACCAACATATATGGCAAAAAGCAGATTAAATGAATAAGACTCTCAATAGAACCACATTGGCCATGAAAAAAATTACAATAAGACCATGATACATGAAAAAATACATACCAATAAATTGCAAATACTGTACTTGTTGCAGTGTTGCTGGTGGGTTGCTTAACCAAGGGGTGGGGCCTGCAACCCGCCTCTCAACAGGCTTTGAACCTTACTGATTCACCAATCAGTAAGTTTCCCTATCCAATTATTTCAGCAAAACATCCTAGGATGTTTTGCTGACATAATTGGGTCCTCTCTCCCCTCCTTGGGAGGAGAGAGAACCTTATCAATATGGATATCAATAGGGCTCTCTCAACCTTAATGGCAGGCCGCTTACCTCAGCAAAAACATTCTAGGATGCTTTGCTGAGGTAAGCTGCCTGCCCTGTTCCTTCCTGCCCCTCCCATGTTTTTTCCCCCACCTTTTCTCTCTCTTTTACCTTTTATTGTAATGATTTTTAATTTTCTACAAGAAAGGTTTTTTTCTCACTTTTTTGCTTTTTTTTTATCTGTTTTTTTATCTAATTTTGAAATTTGTTATGATGTTTACTTATTTTTTTGGGTTCCATTGGTTGACTGGCTGGGAGGAGGTGAGGTAGTGGTTGAGGAGGAGAAAAAAAAAAGAGAAGGGGGAGGAAGGAGAAAAAAAGGCCAGTTTGATTATGTGAGCAAAACATCCTGGTATGTTTTTCCCCCTGTTTATATCAAGCCTCTTTCTCCTCTTTGGGAGGAGAGACAACCCTATAAATATTTGTATCTATAAGGTTCTCTCTCCTCCCAAGGAGGAGAGAGAGGACCCAATTATTTCAGCAAAATACCTAGGATTTCTCCTTCCAAGGAGGAGAGAGAGGACCTGATCATTTCTGCAAAACATCCTAGCAACAGTGAAACCAATCCAAACCTATACAGTATCAGCCAATTTATCGGATTGGATCAATTTTTTGATACCAGGTATCAAAAAATAAGGGATTGTATCACCCTAGCAGTGGTATTGGATCTGGATTGGTATCACATTGCAATCCCAATCCAAAACCCAAAAGCTGTGTGCCGCTTTCCTCAGGCTTTGGTATCATCCACAGTGTAACCAATCCAATCCCCGGATTGGTATTTATTGGGGATCAGACCAAAAATAGACCCAATACCGGGTATTGGTATTGGATTGCTCCACTCAATCCCTGTTTTCCAATGAATACACCTGTTGAAGGATTTCAAAGGAAATCTCTTCTGCAACAATCAATGAGCGGTCAAGATAAGTACAGATGATTCCTCAAACAAAAGGGCCAGGTACACAGATTGAGAATTTCATGTCACCAATCAAGCTTTATATCAAAAGAAGACAGAACTAACATGGGTTCCAACAAAAGAGCAGTTGGCGGATATTCTCACAAAATCACTGACTAGAGAACCTTTTGAGTGCCTTAGGCACCATTTCTTAGGGTCATAGTCAGGGGTGAGACCAGTTTTCATAATCAGTTACTCTATTTTTATTTCTTTTCTTACTTGATCAATTCTTTTGCCTGCTTCAACTTTGATTTTTATTTCTTTACTTATCACTTATTGTATGTAGTATGACTAGTGTCTAGGTGAGGGGGGGGGGGGGTTGTAACCTAGTTACTGGGTCACCATCTGACTCACTAGACACTAGTGGAGATAGCTCGAGGGAGCGAGTGAGTGATAATTCATTCATTTCATCATCACAAACCACATCACAATCAACAACATATCACAAGGATTTCACCCATCAACTACATGCCAAAAATCACAATTACAAGCCCCAAGCCACCCAGACACCCTCAGTACCTCACAACACCACAATTACATACACACTCATTTCCATACATCTATATATCCTTATTTCACTTATATATATATATAGGGGCTTGGCCAACCAACTCTGTCAGCCTCTATGCTACTAACCTGTGAGGGTTGTGCTCTGAGTGTTAACAAGAAGAGTAATGAAGAAGATTTATTTGTGGTTAAATCCCTCGACCTGTAAAAGAAAAAGGGAGGAGTCAGTGAGGAATGGTACTTCTACTGCTGACTCATCCAATTATTCAATTGGGCATCCAGATCAATCCTCTTGCATGGATTAATAGGCTTCCAAGGTGAGGACTTCCTCAACTCAATTGGGATAAGTCTTTTAACAACAATTCAGATTAATAAGTGTATCAACACTTAAGGACCAGAATTGTTTAACCTGGGGGATAATTCTTTATGCAATAGAGATAAGTAGAAATGCCTTGATACTGAGCAAAGTAAATCTATTTAGGTCTAAGGTAGCTGGGTTTTAGAGTTATTGGTGGTCTAAGTCACTGATAATCACAGTACAAGTGTTGGTTTGATGCTACTAGAATTTCCTAGGAGGAAAAGGTAGGAATCAGGATTCAGGGCTCCTTATATTCTACAGAGGGCTCAGGGGAAGAGGAGAGGCCCTCAGGGCACTAGAGAGCTTCTTATCAGCTCTACATAGAGATGGGCGGGGATAATCTGTTGCGTATATCCGCTATCCGCTGGCAGATACCCGCCAGAGGATGCGGATTCAGGTGCAGATGTCCTTTCCCCCCCCCCCCAAATCCCGGCGGATATCCGGGTATCCCCTGGGATACCCGAGACCAATGGCCGGCTGGAAGGGTTTCCTTCCAGTCGACGAGGTACATGCCTTGCCGGCTGCTTTCCAGCCGGCAAGGATGTGCCTTGCCGGCCATTTAGAGGGCGGGTATCCGAGGATATCCGCTCGGATACCCGCTAAGGCGCGGGTATCCGAGGATATCCGCTCGGATATCCGCCAGTGGATGCGGATGCCGCTTTCCCCGGAAAAAGCAACCGGATATCCGGATGAAAAGTGCCCATCTCTAGCTCTACAATTTCGTGTAAGGATGGGAGCTGTAGCTGTGCAGTGCTATGCATGGGTGGAAGGTCCTAGGACATGAGATCATGCATGCCTAATTGAGTTTTGTGGCCTATTTCTCACGTAATTGAAAGGGGTGCAGTTATAGTTGCATACGTGTAACTCTGCTTATGCAAGTTTGTGATCATGAGAAATGAATGTGCTTCATGCATAATTCAGTCTTGCATGTAGAATTTGGGTTCCTTTCCTGTGTAGGCTACTTTGAATTAGAGCACAAAAGGGTCCTGATGACGCCATCCATGAGGTTTATGATGCAATCTGATGCCCTGATGATGTGATCAAGGATGGGTAAGCTTCAGATAAGTTTATATAGCTTATTCCTCATCCATCCCCCGCTTCTACTAGCTGATTCTTATACATATGTAATTAGTTTATGGCTTATAAAATATGTACACAATGTATAAGAATAAATATTATTTTAATACCTTATTCTAATGATATTTGTGTGAAATCCTAGTGATATTATATGTACAATCCTCCAGGGGATTTCACAGTTAACTATTGAATTATTAAATATAATTTATGAATTAAGATTAAATGTAAATACATATTTATTTATTTATTATTTTAACAACAAAGTAAAATATTTTCTTGTATTCAATTAAGTATTATTATTTGCAGTTACTAGGTACATTTCATGTACTGTGAAAGGTACTCTGTGGCTGACAAACTCCCAAATATTGGAGAGCTGACTCCCAAACCCCAAATCCCCCCCCTCGCTTTCCCTAATAGTTGGGAGTCAATTCCCCAAACCTGTCAGAGGGTTTGGGAGTTGACCCCCCCCCCCCAAAAAAAAAAGAAAAAAAAGAAAACCCTGGAGGTTGTGTGTCGATGCCCCAAAACTGAGTGGTTTTGGGGGGTTGGTGATTGAAAAAAAAAACCAATGGCCATGGAGAGTGCATTCTCAACAGCTCAAAGGATTTCTCTTGGCCATCAAGGGCGTACACATTAACAGCCAAGGGAAACTTCTCAGCCATTGAGGGTGTACACCTCAATGGCCAAGATAAACCTAGAGATGGTCACTTTGCATCCGGATATCCGCTGATATCCGGATATCCGCTCTTAATTTCAGCAGAATTAGGCAATTTTGCTGAAAACAAGAGCGGATATCCAGATATCAGCGGATATCCGGATGCAAAGTGACCATCTCTAGATAAACCTCTTGGCCATCAAGGGTGTACCCCTCAACAGCTGAGTGAAACCTCTCGGCCATCAAGGGTGTACACCTCAACAACTGACACCATGAAAAATTTGAGGGCAGTACATGTCAGGTGACATGAAGCCAACTCCTGCCTTTATTCCAGTGTTACTTCAAAGTCAAAGGGTTGGGACTGCCTGATGACCACAAAGGGAACATTGTTAGTTGAGCAGACAAGCACCAGAGTAACAATGGAGTTGTAACATATGTCACTTCATGTCACCTAACACCTACTGCCCTCAGATATTTCCTGGTGTGAGAGGGTTTCCAGTGGGGCATGTTTTTTTTTTGACCCAAACCCAACCTGGCTGTTTTTAAATATTTGCTATAGCCTGTAGGTCACACAGCTTCTGGTTCGGAATAAACGACTTGATGAGAAATGCAAATCATAATCTAACTATAATGGGCCCTGTTCACATATGCCAATATTGTGAGATTTTGCAGGAGATCAAGATATGACATTTATCAGTTTGTTGTTTTTTACTGAAATTTTGTATTGTCTTTCCCATGAAGCTTGGACACTTTTCCGTTTTTTCTGGTTCAGAGGATCCCATATTTCCTTGTTAATCCTCCATTATCCACGAGTTTTTTCCTTGACATCCGCAGCATCTGACCCAAGGCCAGCTCAACTGGCCTTTCTATGTGATTCCCCCTTTCTCGGTTCCAAAGTGAGGGGAAGAGGAAATCGACCTCTATTTCGGAACCAGAGACAAAAGTTTGCCCTGGTCTGCCCCTACACAATGCTCGCCAAGGTCTCCAACCTCATCATTGTTGCACTTGAGAAAAGCGGGTGGTTGCAAGGCGGTGGGTGGCAGGCTGTGACCGTGGAAAAGTGCAAATCAAAAGGTGGGATACTAGGGGCAAAAACCCAAGGGAAAAAATAAGAAAAAACACAGATCTGATGATTTTAAAATGCATAATCAAAACCAGAAGAATCAGATTGAGTCCAACAATTATAGGAAACACAATTATGGTCTCCAAAGTTAAATTTCATGCAATCATAACCGCATAAATCATAAGATCTTAAAACCTTGTTTGCAGGGGATCTTGGTAATCTGATTATGTAAGCTTTGGCTTTCCCAGCCAAAATAGTTTTATGATTATATGATTTATGCGCTTATGAATTTATGAAATTTAACTTTGAAGACTATAAATATGTGAATGTACCAAATTCAAAGCAAGTGTTTTCTTCCCTTGCATCAATTTTAATTTCATGCAAGTGTCTATGTGAATACCAGCATTTCCCAGCTAGAGAGCCACCCCAAAGTTTTTGACCTAGTGCAGGAGAGTGGGGCTAGAAAACAGCAACCTTTTCCATCTTGTAAGCTCATGGCATGTTCAGCAATGGGCAGATCAAGCCAACAGATGCCTGCAAAAAACATTAACTGACTTGTCTGCAGTATTTTTGTTGAGAAATTTATCTGCTTTTAATTCTCAATGAGAATCGTGACAGTTTATTTTCCTTAACCATCAAATCAGGTTTAACGGGCTGCAAAGCTGATTCTTCATATCTTTGGAATTAATTGATCTGCCGGTGGTGGAGCAGAATGGACTGATATGGTAAGTTTTTGCAAGTTGATGATTATCAGTCAGGATAAAATTCAGCTCGATGGCGAGAGCATTCATTCTAGATGATGATGTCACTAAATCTGACGCGAGTTGCTTGATGCAAACACACAGACTGCCGTTGTGATTTATAGGTTAAGTCTCACTAATGGTACATGATGATGACCGACCATATTGGGAAATCAATGTTGATAGACGATGGATTTCCGATTGTTTTTAGGCTTTATACATCGAAAGTGGGCTATTTGCGCAATGTGCAAGTATCTCTCCAGAGTAAGACTGAGTCCATGTGCTTTCCGATCCGTACCCGCGGTACATGTATCTTGTCCAGATGACTGAGCCAGCGTGATGATGATGACACACTTTATAATCCAGAGCCGAGTGGGCTAATTTGTATGTACAAGTAACAACAAGAAGCTTGCAGCAAGCAGCTCTCGTGACTGATGTAGCACTCCAGTCTCCTCCTGCATGCATAGACTTGCTTCGCGAGACGGAGCGCTAAACTTAAAAGGAACTTTGTATTTGCGCCTTTTCTCCATCATCCAGATCCTCCAGCGGAGTTGATAAATTCTCCCAACCAGCAGACAAACATATTCTTGGAACCACTCACTACATACAGATCAGCCCCTGGTCATCGTTCCTCCCACTCCTTTCAACTCAAGTTCCTACCTGCGCCCGAACACGCTCTACACATCCTTGGGAATTCTAGGCTCGAGTTGAATTCTTTTTAGTCATTTATTATTGTACAAGAGAAAGAGAAACCCGTGGTCCAATCGCGACAAGAAAACCTTAAGGTGACCAAGTTGTAGTTGGATTCATCGCTGTAAGACCAGGGTGAGTCAGATGTTGCACGCACGGAAGATCAACAGAGTGTCTAACCAATTGGCAATTTCCAATCCCTTGAACTGGTTTCGGAAGCCCTTCCTTCAGCAGCGCGGATCATCGTTTATTTCAAATATCACTTCCACAAAACAGAATGTCTTCCAGTTCAGGGTCTCAACTTCCGTCTCGCCGTGGTTCTTCACTTAATCTTGCCACCCCCGCCCATCGATCCCAAGGCACTCTCTGCTTACCACGCCCAGTTGCAATGCGCCAAACCAGTGATCGTGGAGTGCAGCCAGACCTCAGCCGCCACCTCATACGCGGCCATCCTCGTGTTTCGCATGCAAGTAACGCGACTGGTGATGGGATCCAACCTGGCCGACACAAGATGGCCAACTATGGTCAGATTGAAAGACGCCTCGCTAGAACCCAACGCGTCCAGGAGTCAAGTCCTCTTAACCATCCCAAGCGACATCGCATTCCACCTTGCCTACAGCACGAACGGCGACAAATTTCGACTATCCAACTAGAGCGGACTCCAGCTTCGGAATCGAAATTCAAGACCAAGGGGATCTCTCCCTATATTCCAAGACATTCTCGCACTCCCTTGTCTCCCTGTCTGTCGCCCCCCTCAAGAATTATCTCTTCAATCTCCCGATCAGGTCCTGGAGGGTGCACCAAAATCCTCTCCAAGATTCGTCTTCCACTCGTCATCACTCATCCAGTGATTAATCCGAACGATCACCATAATCAAAACTTACAGCCGAAGGTTTACGACTTATCCCCGTCCTGGTGCTCACCCAATCTCCAAAAGTCAGCTCATAGATATATCATGTCTCAGGGCGAGGATCGAAATCCGGATAACGAAATACTGGCGGGATTCTTGAAAAACAATGGGGGTTATTTAGATGACAGCGATGACGAGGAAGAAGAAGAAGAAGAAGCGCAAGGATATAGGTCCGGAAATACGATGCTATCCACCGTCAAGTTCCTCAGAAGAAAGATCCCATACCCATTTGAATTTCGCGCTCCCAGCTGTCAACCATCGTCCTTTCGCTCGTATTCCAGCTCCGCATCTTGCAGTCACTCCACTCAAGCTGGCTCTTCCAATTCACGATCGACCATCTCTTTTTCAAATCAGTCTTACGCCAATCGAATCCATAAACCCCCTTCGACGTACGGTCGATGTGACCCTCGATTCGGCTGCTGAGAAGGATGAGAACCAACACACTACTTTCATGTTACCATAATTCTGTCCCTTAAAAATTTTATTCAAAAAAACTAGTTGTTCAATCTTTGCATGTTGCCAATCATTATATTTAATTCTCTTAATCAGTCCTACCAAAATTCATCTGGCAATCCGAAAAAAAAAGTATTTAATGCTGCTCGCGCTTCCCTTCATTCGTGTCTTGAAATGTTCTTTTTTTTTTTGGTTTCTTGTGATTTATCTACAAACAGATCCAACCGATGTTTTTATAATCTATTTTTAATTGCATGCAAAAACAAACTATGGAAAGATCCATTGTGAAGCTTAGCTTAAAGGCCCAGTTGCCTTAATGTCATCGAGAGTGAAGACCGCCCTCCAAATCCGCCATTCATTCAGGCGTCATGGGAACAGGTTGTCTGAGTGGTAGAACTCGCCAGCAACTACATAATTCACACATCCTGATATCTCCCCATTTGCCCCACTCTTGTTATTGATCCGAGGCGCATCCATCAGAACATCATAATAGGTTTTTTTTTTTTTTGCTTACCGCAAGAATTTCGTTATACTAGAGAAGCTTAGCTTCAAGTCTCGGAAAAAGAGACAGTAACCAAGGAACATCAAATCATGATCAGCCTATAACCAAGTTGTATGTTATCATTAAACATCTAGATTCAACAAGGCGATATTTCTTTGGATCAAGATAACCAACAAGCCTCTAGATTAACCAAGTTCAACTGAAGCCATAATGCTCATGGAGTTTCTAATGTTAACCAATACATGCACTATGCGTATTTTGGAAAACGTGACTCCCTAGATATTTTACGAGTGATGATTGAAGTAGCTTGCTCAAAGTGATGAAGCCTACTAGTTAAGGGTAATGGTAACATCAAACCTGCTGCACTAGGATTAAGTTACTCCCAACTGATCCATTATAAGGTAAGAAGAGATGTCAACATAGATATATCAATCTTAAGTAAAAATCACTCTGATTTGGGCTTGAGATCTGAGCGTTCTGGCACGAGTTGACCCAAGACATTTCTCTCGATCTGATCGAAGGTCTTGTTGACGAGATGTTCGACAGGCTCGTCGAATAAAGTGGGCAAGAAGGGTATGATGCCTAAGCCGACTTTGTGCCATTCCAAAAACACACAGACAAATCAACAAATAACCAAGATTCGATCGTCAGATCTCTGTGAGTTGAAGAAGATTGGTTCATGTAAGGAGTTATAGAACTTGCCAGCCGTTGGACCAATCGAATGGATTCGTGGGTTAGCCATTTTCGAGAAAATCATTTTCTTAGAGTAACGAACGGCAGAATGACTACATAGCAGAAGACGAAGTGCTGGGGATCAGTGTCCACATCACCAATACACACCTACATACTCAAAGAGAGATCCCAAGGCATACTGCATACATGGTCTGTGCGGTCGACGATCCGGATTCCGTATAATAGCATTATTGGATAATGAGATGGGTCGAGTGAATGGATGTTATAAGATTGGATGGGGATAAAACTTGATAGCTGGTTGAGGAGTTTTTCTAGGAAGTGGACGCACCAAAGCCGGCAACAGCATACCTATGTAGTCGATCGAAAGAGGCCAGTTGAGACCATGGAGACTGCGAGACAGCAAGCAAAGATATTCTGAGGGACTCAACTGGCGGTTCCCTGGAATGCAGCCCGTCGAGCAACCTTGAGTGCGATGACCAGGTTGTCATCCGGATCCCCTTGGGCTTGCAGATGTCCTTTCCACCCCTCGTAGGCCACATCACCCACCTGCTCACAACAGCAGTACCCCGTTTCAGGCAATCTCAATCGAATGGTTATGGTCCCATATAATGGCTTCATCAAAAACTCACCACATAGCCAATCGAGATCCCGTACGCTGATGTGACCACTTTGGGATTGACGACCGGCCTAAACGCTTCGCCCACATCAGATGTGTAGGCTAGATATCTCGACGCCGGGATCAGTAATGGTCGGATTCGTGCAACTAATCCTAAATATCTGGCCGCTGTGTCGGTGGAACTGTTTAATATCCAGATTGTTTTCCAACACCAGATTATTTTTCCATTCGAACCAACAAAAACCAATAACGGATTAGCATCGATTCCCATTGCCCTTCCCTCCTGCCTCCCCTCGCACTGTGCACATGATGACTGTGTGGGCTTATATGACTGACTCGATTCGTCCATCAGCTATCCGCTCGGGTAAGTTTTCGTGCTTCTCGGCCATGTTTTTAGATGGAAAACAAAAGGGAAGGAAGGGTTTCTGCAGTAAGATATCCAAGCTGGAGCCATTCCAGCGGACCCCTGGCTGAGACAAGAACTTAAATATGTCCCTCTCCGCCATAAGAAAAAAAAAAAACAAGAGGCTGCGCAACTTTCAAACTTTGTAAATCTCATCTCCGAACCGAACTACTCGGCCCAATTCAATCCACCAACGGCCCTCCAACTTGTTATATTTTATAGTCCTAGGGACCAGGGTGGATAGGACAGTAGAACCAGTGCGCTCACATGGAACTTCCTACTCCCACCTTCGAGTGCTTCAATTAATGTAAGTTGAACAATCAGATATCCTGAGGGCCTTCTTTGGACACAGAGAACGGACTCTTCATCTATGCCTATCAAATCAGTAAATCTAATAGTCTAAACGTGATTTGCATGCTTCTTTTTGAAGCTAGCAAACAATGAACGAAAAACAAGAAAGGATCATTGAAATCTCAATAAATATGAAGCGAAACAGAATTGAAACAACTTCAAATTTTGCAAAATTCCAAGAAGAGGAAAAAGAAATCATCTAACAGAAATTACAAAAAAAAAAAAAAAGAACAAGAGAAAGAGAACAGAGATCATTCCCAAAACTTAAGAGAATACAGTAACACTTTACCACGGTTATTACCAGTGACCAAATATTTAGAATTCGAGTTAAAATCGAAGTCGATTACATGTCCTAACGGCGTATTAGAAGTGGGCCAATTAGAGAAGACTGTTCCAGATTTCACGTGGACCTTTGGAAGCCGAAGAATGTCAGTATAAGATAATCATCATATTAATATAAATGAATCGAACGAAGAAAAAAAAACCACCCACCAATTTAAAACTGTCTTTTTTCACTTGACTCGAAATCCCGAGCATCTGACCGTCGGGATTGAACTGAATTCGGTTGATAGAGGTCGTCAGATTGCCGACAGTTTTGAAAGGTTTCCGAGGGTTTTGAAAGGAGTCGACGAAGGAGGAAGGGGAGCTATTCAGATCGGAGTACAGATTGACGATTCCGGTCTGACTGCCGACAGCCGTATATGACGAAGAGTCTTGAGCCAGCCGACCAGAGTCTTGGTCGGTTGTGGAGATCTTGGTCGGCTTGAACCCGCCATCGTCCATCCAACTACCTAGGATCTTGTTCATCCTGAGATCCCAGATCGAGACTTCCGCATTACTGCCGACCGTCAAGAGCTCGGTGCCGTTCCTCGACCAGGCTAAACTCTTGATCGGAGTGTTCGATTTCAAGCTATGGATCACTTGAGATGAGCTGATGTTATTTGACCAATCGACCAGCTCTATAAGCCCGTTCATCCCCACAAAGGCGACCAGATTCCCCTGAGGCGAGAACTTGAAATGGCTCAAGGAGGTGCCTTGACTGGATTGAGAGAAGACAGATTTGTGGAAGAGGCCTTGCGGGCTCTTGATACATTGGCAGCTTTGGAGATCGAAGGTGTAGAAGTAAGGTCGATGGCCGGTGATGAGGACGGTCGAGGAGACGTTGGTGGTCGATGGGGGACAGAATTCGGCGGCTTGGATCGGCAGATCGGGTGTGTGAACGAAATGGAGTGCCGGATTATGGGTGCCATCGATCTTAAAGAATGAGAGTCGCTTAGATTCCGCCGAGCCGGTGAAGAGGATATCGGAATGTGGATGGAATTGGAGACAGGAGATCGGCGATGATTTCGTTTTCTCAGGCTCGGCTTGATTGGCGTCTCGAAGTCTCTCGACCTGAAGTTGACCTCTGGGCAGGACCCCCTTCCGAGTTTTCTTGGTGACCTTCTGCCGACTAAGATCCCCAGTAGATTGAAGAATAAGATCTAATCCGAAACCGACTTGGTCCTCGTCCTCTTCTCCCTCCTGACCATCGATCTGTTGTTGTTGAGTCTTCTTTGATCCTCGACGATCGTTCAACCAGGTCGGTGTTGGATTCATCTTCTCGAACTGTGATCTTAATCGTTTCTCATATTCTTCCCCACTGATCGTGATCTTTTTCTCATCATCATCTTGATCTTCTAACGTCCTTAGTTTCTTGAGTCGACTAGGTCCGTGGGTAAGTGAGACTGAGACTTGATTTGTCGATTCATCCTTCCAAGCCGGTATCCTCTCAGACATCTTTGGTCTTCGCTCGGTATGATCAGTCTTTTCGGATTTCTTCTTGGGATTTTCATCTCCAGGAGTAGATTGATTGGCCTCATCGAAGATAAACAACTAATAAATTCCGGTTTTTTTTTGGGGGTCAGCATTCATGTTTTCTTTCTTTCTTTTTTCCTTCTCGCCTTCATTTTAATTCTCACTTACCTGATCATCAGCGAGCTGGGTGAGTTCTTTCTGAGGGTGGTGATCCTCATCGGGAAGGGCAGATTGGGTTGAGTTGTTGGTGTCTAGTTGAGTTGATCTGGATAGTGGGGCGAAACCGAAGACAGCTTCCTCCAGATCGAGTTCTTCTGGGGATGGTTCTAGGTTAGGATATTCTTCGATCCCCAGTGGTTTCTTGGTTTTCAGACTGCTTCCATCGACGACCTTGACTCGTTTGCGTTTCTTGGAGGCTGACTTGGTGGGTAGCATGTTTGGATGTGTTGTGGTTTGGCTGTGTAGTGTGCTTCTTCTTTTTTTTTTCCCTTGGAAGGGGGTGAGCAGATGAATAAATGAATATATGCAATATCCTCTGTGACCCTCCTCAGCGGGCGAGGGCCCAGGGGGTCTACGTTTTTCCAAGGGTGTGTTCAGTAGGCCATGGGCCACTCCACCCGTTGGTCACTCACTGCATACTCTTTCGAAAATAAGATGAACCAGGAAATCCTCAGATCGATGGCCAAACTCAACACTCGACTACTCAAAATCAGGACGACCACCAACCAACTCAAAACATTCCCTAACACTCGGCGGATCTCAACCAACACTGAACCATCAACGTGAGCAACAGCCTGTTTTGTCGTTCTTTTTTCATTGAACTAGATTAGAGAAAGAGACTGATTCGAGCACAACTCCAATCAATAAACAGTCAGCCACCCTTCCCATCAAGCTCATCATCGACCATCAAAAAGAAGGGATCCAGACTGAGAGACAGGGCAGGCTTACCAGCGTTCGAAGGCACGAGCAAACACGCTGGAGTAGAAGACCACTATGAGAAAGAAGGATCAGGAGATAGTCAGCCTGCTGATCAGCATCAGCATCAAACCTTCACACCGATGAAACCATGGAACATGAGGACTCGGAATCAACTCGAACGAACTCAAATGAACCATAGAGAAAGTCAGATTGCCTTAGAACTACTGGAAGATCTGGCGATCCCACTAGATGAACTTCTTCTTAACACGACCACACAAAACGATCCAAAAGACCATCAGGATACATCAGAATCGGGAAAGATAAAAGACCTGCTCCATCGACCCGAATTTCAATCGATCCTGTCTCAACATTCTTCCTCCTCTAGCCATAAAAATCTCGAGAGACATCGTCCAACTCAACTCTCAGCTGAGGATCTACGAATCGAAGACATCCTTAAAGAACTATCCGACTCACTCCTCAGAAAGATCGACAGTTTCCGAAATGATTTTGAATTGCTCACTTGGCTCGATCATCAAGTCTTTTCTCAATCAAGAATACCATCATCATCATCATCATCATCCTCAAGAACAACAACAGCTGATAATTGCTCCTCAACCGACTCGAATGATACACACAATAAACTTGGCCAAGTCTTCGAAAGTTTAGATTCCCATCCATCAATCCTCTCCACCGAAGAATACGAACTGGATCTAAACTTCCAAGACGATCCAGAACGGATCCTTCGCAATCGACCGATCTGTTACAGTCCACTCTTCTCCTCCATCCTCGTCCACCTCCTCCAAACCTTCTCGAGCCGATTCCAGAATGCGCATCTCTCCTTATATCTCTTCGATTGGGTCCGCTCTCATCCCGACCCACTCGTCAAATACTTCGGACTGACACGCGATGTCTACTTCGAAGTCGTGACGATCAAGTGGGAGATCTTCCAAGACTTCAGAGGGATCCAGAACGAGATGGTGGAGATGAAGGCACTCGGCTTGGACCTCGATGATCGGTTTAAGAGACTCGTCCAGTCGATCACTCAGCTCGTTCTGGACGACGAAATCCAAGCCGAACAGCGTCTGACCCTCCAATCTTCTACTGCCCCTCTCAATCCTTGCGACCGAGACAAGTATCTCGACCGGTTTCGGAGAATCTCTCCTACCGAACGACTCTATGTCTCGCAAATCGAATCGCTCCTCAATCAGTTCATCGACTCTCAAAATCAAGCTTTCACTCACAAATTCCGGGCCCCTCCGCCTTCTCATCATCATCCTTGACTAACTCAATCCCAAAAATTGATAAAACCACTCTGTTCCTTCTTTTTCTCATCATCATCGTGCTTAGTCAATTGGTTTCATGAAGGAAATTTTGTTTTGTGTGTTCATGTCCCAATTTTTGGACAGAAAAGGCTTTCATGACCCATTCCGATATATGTGGTATACTTAGATTAGACGCTAAACTCTTATGTATGTCTGAAGTGAACGAGCATATAGACTTGAATGCCTGTCTACGTATTGATTTTGGGGGAGGTGGGGATGCTCTTGGCACGTTGAGGAAAGGTCCAAGTGAGCAGAATCAAAGGTGATCCAGTTGACCATGAACCCCAATCTAGTAAATTTTCCTTGGTACTCTACACAAGTTTGGGAGATGTGAACGATAGAAACAGCCAGCGAGTAGTAGGACCGAATGTGTGTACACCGGGCTAAAACAAATCAAATCGTTATTCCTCCACTTTGCGGAAAACCAGCTTATCCAAAATCTTTCTCAAATTCATAGCAAACGTTTTTATCTCTCTGGACTACTGGCTCATGGGACGGAATGCTAGGTGACCACTGAAACTACCGAGTTGATATTGCAATGCGAGGAGTGAGATAAGGTAGGGCTTTGGTTTTGTTCAGCTACATGTGTGGGAGTTTTGTAGGGAGGTTGAACGATTCTTGGTCTTGGTTTTTTTTTGGGGGGGGGCTTATCTTGCGAGGAGTTTTTAGATCACTTCGTTCCGGATTAACATAGACTTTTGAGAGCGGCAAAGGGACAGAACAAAAAGCTCTTCTTAACGTTACCGAGCAAAACTCAAGAATATGAATGATGGGTAAGCAAAAGGGCGACGAACCTGAGAGAACAAGCTTGAAGACATGTATTTTTGATTTAAAAGGCAGGGACGAGAAGGTCACCAGCGAGCTTGAAGAAAGTGATCGAAGAGAAGAAGACGGCAAAGCCGACGAGGATCCCCGTATTCGCCTTCCGACACTCTGGGTCGTTCATCTCCTGGTTGAGGATTGTCTTCCAGACCGATTCCTCTTGCTCCTTGGGTTGAGAGCTCAGGTAGTTCGGCTTCGGTTTACTCGAATCGCGCAAGGCCATCTCTGGTCTATCTGTCTGTCTGTCTTCAAAATTCATTCAAATCGATTTGTAAGTTCAGCTCTCCCTGCATATCTTCGCCTCCTCGAACCATCCAATGGGTATTATGTAGTTACTTACGTTGATCTTGTTGAACTCGGTCTGCCGTAAGTATGGTGTCTTTGAGTAGTCGGATGTGTTCAGCGCCCGCAACGGTGGACAGCAACCGGTGCAGCACCTACATAGGCCCCCTTCGGTAGACCCCCTCGGCCACCGAGTTGCGCCTGTGCGCGCTATGTAGCGTGCCGCCAACAGGCTGCGGCGAAGCGCTGTTGTCGAAACGGTGACAGCAAGTTGCAATCGAGTACGGACGGGGGTCGGACCCTTCAAGGCTAAAAAACCTCGTGCCATATGCCACTGCTTTAATCCCACATGACCAAACATCACTGACAAGCGCTTCGGAGATGAGTTCATATGCACTACTTATGGCAGCTATCGAGCACCGGGAGAATCTTTAAAGGTGTGACCCGGGTGTTCGGGCGGGGTGTCAAGGCAATCCCGACGCCCGTATCCGATTTTGATCGGGTGGACCCGGGTCCACCCGTTGTTTTTTTTGGAGTTGAGATTCAGGGGAGAATCTGAGAGGGCATAGCCTCGTACATACCTCATTTAACCCTGTACAGTGCCCTAACCCTCTTTTGTGTAACACCGCGCCTGCAAAATTATTTTTGAACTTTGAGCTGTATGTTGGTTGGCTCAAATAGGGCTACATACCCTTACTATACATTTTTGGGCTCTACAGAAGCAGTAGAACCCAAATATATAACCACAATTCTGTAGGTGCAATAATAAAAAAGTTTGGAATTTATTTTTTCTAGGACTTGGAACAGCCACCCAGGGAGGTCATAGTATTGACTTCTGGGGGCTATTATGGACTTATGTATTATATAGTATGCTTTTAGGGGTGGAATTTACATAATATTTTAAAAAAAAGGCAAAGAAAAACCAATACATAAGTTATCTGGCAATGATTTCTTAACAGATTTGGTGGCCCTTCTGACTCTCTGGGAACGAGGTGCTTTACTCACAACCATCGTTGGTGATTCAACTCCTCCTTGCATGAAAGTTGTAAAACATGAAATGGATTTCATCTAAATATGTATGTACTTTATCAAAAAAATCCAATTTGAAAGTCAAGAAAGTCAAAGAAATGGTTGGAAGAAGCCAAAATTGCCAAAAAAAGAAGGAAAAAGAGAAAAAAATGGTAAAACACAAGAAAAAAAATTGAATAAAAAGCTTCAAACATTTGGAACACCCCCAGGGGTGTAGTACAAAAGAGGGTTAGGGCACTGTACCAGTCCGGCATCATGATGAGGAAGCAAAATCTGCCTCAACCCACCCTGATCGCAACGACTCCGGCTCCCACTCCAGTAAAAATATCAAAATTGAAAGGGGGTTTAACTCGTTCCTCCTCCCAAGTGCATACTTTGATAGGTACAACATCATGTCCAAGCCGACTGCAGATCATTCCTCCACTCAGGTACATGGAGAATGACTTTGTGACATTGAGTCCAAGCCAAAAAACAAGCTCATACCTCCCATCAACCCATATTGCACTACCACCCGGGTGTTCGGGTGGGTCCAGAGACCCACCCCGAGGACCGACACCCGGGTGGCACCACCCGTCAAAACACCCGGGTGGCGTCTTTCGGGTTACACCTTTACGGGAGATGCTGACTGTGCGGTCTGATCTAATCTGTCAAATGGTCATGTTGAAAGCTCATGAACTGGCAAGACCTCAAGGATCTCATCATACATACATTTCAATTTTCGAACTTCTCTGACGCACTTGAAAACCAGACTGCTTGACGGCTATCGAGCTTTCCTAAGGCTGAAGCCGGCAGAGTTTGATGGGCTGGGACGGGAATCAATTACATATGTAGCCAGATCGGTGGCAGTGCAATGGGCACTAACGTCGGGGTTTTCCAGACCGAGTGCGATTGGATTGAATGTGGAGGCTTGAGAATGAACCATTTCCAATTTGAGGATTTCCATTCAAGATAGTTCAAACATCAGTCTGTCGGCCCGGGTGGCAACCTCATAGGCTCGCCGAGTGAATGTCACTGCCAACTATAAGCTTTCGATTAAAATGTTTATATTGGAAAATTTCCAATGACCATCATGCTATGTGTGCGTCCCAGGTCTCAGTCACTAATCACTATTCCTGGGACAACCGACCGGTGCTGATTCTGACTTGGCTGGGCTGAACACTCAAGGCCTTGGTTCCCAGCTGTAAGAAAACCACGACCAAGCAGCGAAGCGCCGATGAGCAAGCAGCTGACCGAGCAGAGCCTTCCAGGATATAAAAACCCATCCCTCCTTCAAGTAGTTCCCTCCCTCATCCAGCCTTACTCCACTTCACAGGACAACTCCACCCACACAACACACAGAACCCACTAGAAAACACCTTCCGACCAACCAGTCTATCCTTCAAGACAAGATGCGTTTCACCGTTGCAATTGCCGCTGCTCTCGCCGCCCTCAGCTCTGTTTCCGCCCAGAACGGCATGCAATGCGGTGTCAACCATGCGCTCATCCCTCTCGACTTACTCCAGACTAACTCTTGCAGCATGACCGGCATGGGCGGTGGTCCCAACTTCATGCAGTGTGGCGGCGACGCCGGCGATGGCTTCTTCGGTCTCGGCGCGATTGTCTCTCTTGACCTTCTCCAGCAGAACAAGTGCTCCATGAGCGGGCAACCAGGCCCCTTCGACAGCTTCGCTGCCAGCGGCGGTCTCTTCGGCAAGGAGGCCAACGTAAGTAACCCTCCTACGTAGACAGTTCTGCGTTGCCTTGAATCTGGCGCAGAACGGATCGCTAATCCGGTTGCTTTGTTCCGATTCACCCCTCGTGCAATTGTTGTCACCCACCACAGAACCAAAAGAAGGATGACAAGAAGGCTTGAAGCGTCCCCTGGAGAGATTAGCTACTTCTACAAACAAAGAGGTAATAACATCTGGTTCTTTCGAATCTCGAACACTATTGACCTCCTGCCTTCTGTTGTTTCTTGATAGTCGGACGACGGTACGATGTAGACAGTTGAATTGATTCTTATTAATAATCCTGGCTCTTGTAGTTTTCCGGGCTCGTCTGCTCTGTGTTTCCTCTCTAGTGTTCATCTTTATCTCTACACCTCAGTGGCTCCTGTTACACATTCCCTTTCAACTAGTGGTTCGTCAACTGTTGTGACGTTGTGATAATCAATCCAATGATCCAACCTTTATCTAATCAATTATCCAAGTCACTCGTTAGTCACCAAGTCCCTTCCTTGGAACATATTTTAGTCTGAGTCCTCTGAGTCCGGAGCGCTTCTTTATCCAATCGAAATGAGAATTCCAACTTTCCAACCCAAAGCGATTGGGTTGGACATTCTTCACGCCACAAAGCAGAGCGTCGCCCCAAGAGTTGTTCCCAGCTTCACATAATCCCCTCGCTCCTGAGGGCTGGGGGGACCCCAGCGTGCCATGCACCTCGCGAAGCGAGCCTCCGAAGGTGCGGCTTGCCAGCCAACTCTGAACGTTGGCATGGCCGATTCGGTGTATCTGGTGATTTCCGGGCATTTTTGAATAGACTTGCCCATTGCCTGGGCACCTGATGACCTCGGAAAGTGAGACCAAGAGACCCTAAGCCTCCTTCCGAGGCTCGCTTTGCGAGGTGCCTGGCACGCTGGGGTCCCCCCAGCCCTCAGAAGCGAGGGGATTGTGTTAAGCTAGGAGTTGATCGGTCGATAGAGAAGAAAGTTGCAAGCGTTAAATGTAATAATACAGCTGGCGCTCACTCTGAACAAGCGCCACACCAGGACAAGACCACCCCAATCGACTATATTCCCCCTAGTACTACACAGCCCAAGTCAAGCTGCTCTTGACGCTACTTAGGGGGGGGGGGGTATATAGCCCTTGCAATCCTTGCCCGTGCTGCCTACAATGGGGACAATTTACAAATGTAGTCTTGAGCAGACCTGAGCAGACCCTGAGTCCCCCAACAACTCATTTCCTGAAGTTGCAACACCACCTGATCCTTTACCTCCCTCCGCCTATCTCATGTTATTGCATTCTCACATATTATTAAACATACCACTGCATGGCTTATTCACACCACTTCCCCCTACCAGAAGTAGGCCTCAAATCTTACTCTGGTGCTCCTGTTCACCCAGCTGAATTCAGAATGGTGATTGGCTTGCTAATGTATCTTTTGTGTGGCACCAGACTGGACTTGGTGTATGTGGTAAACCTCTTGGCATGGTTTTGCTCGGCATCCTCAGATGAGCATTGGGTGGCACTTGATTGGTTAATTGGTTACCTTGGCAGGACATTGGATAAAGGATTGGTGTACAAGGCGGGTACTGGAGGATTGGACTTGCGGATGGATGCAAATTGGGGTGGTGAAGATGAAAGGTTGATGATGGGAGATTTGCTGACACCCAACGGAAACAGTATTGTGTGGGGCTCAAAGAGTCAAACAGTGGTGGCTATGTCAACTTGTGCAGCAAAATATTTGGTGCTTTCAGAAGGGGCTCAACAGCTGTTGCATCTCATCAACATTTTTGAAGAACTAGAGATTGATCCCAACCCCAAAATTCACTTTGATAATCAAGCTGTGGCACTCATTGCAACAGACAACACCTCAAATAATAGGACATGTTAAATCAAGCGCACATTTTGTTTTGTTGCTGATCTAATTAGAGAACAAAACATTAAATTAAATTGGACATCTTCCCATAACCAACTGGCAGATGTGTAACGTGTTAACCAAAATATTAGGTCCAACAAAAATGATGGGAGTGTTAAGGCAATTAGGTGTAGGTGGGAAAGTCAAGTAATCTGGAGGGGGGGGGGTTAGAGTAGTGACGGAAGACCTGAGAAGATACAAGATTGCTACGGTGTTTTAGGATATATATATGTATTCAGACAAGCTTCACCTAAGTAGTGAGAGACACAACCCTAACATAGTTCATGCTTGTACAGTGGGTGGACCGTTTTTTTTGGATGCTTGTTTTGGATCCCAGAGCTTCAAAGCACCAGATTGAAGTCATGAGACTTGGTCAAGTAGTGCGGAATAGGTCCCAAAAAATGAATATGAATAACTAAAAACAAAAAAACAAAGTTTCAAAATTTGTGAAAAATAAACAATAAAATTGTTTTTTTCCAAGAGCTTTGATATTCATTTTGGGGAAGTGGGAGTGCCGAGAGAAAGAAAGAGTGGAACATAAAAAGAATGATCATAAATGAAAAAATTGGAAACAAAAAAGGTTGAGCAAAGTTGGTTGTCCAGATAGGAGCCAAAACAGTAAACTCTAGTGCTTTACCACACTTTGTGCTGGTAAATGTCTCACTCAACAATTGTTTTAAACCATCTGGTGACTTTTTTTTCCAAAAAAATTGTTTATAATCATTCTTCCCAGTTTACATTCTTTCTTTCTGTCAGGACTCACACTTAACCAAAAGGAATATCAAATCTTTTGAAAAAAAAAATCAATTTTATTGTTTATTTTTCACAAATTTTGAAACTGTGTTATTTGTTTTTATTTATTCATATTAATTTTCAAGACCTATTCTGCACCACTTGTTCATGCCAGATGAGTTCAAGTTTGTTTTTCAGAGCTCTGGAATCCAAAACAAGCAGCCAAAAATAAGGGTCCACCCACTGTACATATTTTATAACCTGTTTGGTCCCGGCTCTGGCCTCCTTTCCTCTTTCCTCACCAAGATTGGAGACTGTAGTCTGTACGTACCAATAGCTAACCATGATGGGTCTGCATTGGCCAGGTTAGTATCTTTTTCACTATTCTCAAGCAATGCACCGAGATTTGGAGACAGGATTCTGTAAGCACCAATAGCTAACTGCAACAGCACTGCATCAAACCATACCAATTTGCCTCCGTGCATCTTACAGGAAGGCCCTCACAATTATTTTGCAATCTTTTTCTTTTAGATCACTCCAATTTATTAGAATTCAAAATTCTCAAACAATTTTCACTCATCCTTTCAATTTACCTCTACTGTTTCATATGCTCAAGATGTGCATTGATAATCACACACACACACACACCCGCCTGCGCCCCTCAGAAGCTTTATTTCACAAGGAAACAGGCTTCCAAGGGGCGGGCAAAAGAACCTGCCCCTCCAAGAGGGGCAGGTGGGGCAGCACACCAACCAAGAACCAAGATAGCTTGGTTCTTGGTTGGTGGGCAACATGACAAGAGGTCATGGGAACCTATGGATTATCAATTTAGGTCCCCATGGCCTCTAAAGAAACAAACCTTACCAGTAACCAAATTGGTAAGGTTCCCTGTTTTCTTACATGAGCAAAACATCCCCGGATTTTTTTGCTCACATAAGCCAGGCTCCCTCTCCTCCCAAGGAGGAGAGGGAAATTTATCGATAAAGTTCTCTCTCCTCCCAAGGAGAGAGAGAGAACCTTTAAGGCAGCTTGCTTATGTGAGCAAAACATCCGGGGATGTTTTGCTCATGTAAGCGAGCTGTCTTTTAGTTCAGTGCACAAACTAGGCTCCAGAGAGCCTATTTGCTGGTGGGCTTCCTTCCGTGAGTTCCGTGAGTTGGGCCCGCGCTCCCACCTAGGATTTAAATTTTCCCAAATATGCTCCCAGTTTGACTTGAGCTGGAGTGTTCCTCCACTAAGCCCCCCTCTCCGTCTAACAACCGTTCCATGTCGCCTTTCCAGAACCGGTCGGATTCACTTTTCTTTTTCACATTTACTGTACAGCCAATCTTGTTCCATCAACTGGAGTACAAAAAGTTTTGTCAGACAATCTTGTGCTACTTTTGAGTACTCTTGACCTGGTATTCAAATGAGGCATCTGTATGGAATTGCAATCACTCAATGGCATACACGGTTTTTGGTTTGATTATTTCCAAGATACAAGTGTGCTATCAATGAACAATAATACAATATCTTTACTACCAGGAGGCACCAGAATCAGCCAAGGAGATGAAGAAGACACTTGAACCACAATAAGAGACAAGATAGAGATTTGAGCAGAACCAGAAAATACAATACAAGTTGTGGAGACATAATGAGGCAAGATAAAGATTTCATGGAGCCAAATTACTGTTGAGATGCTGATCAATTTTAGTTATATTCAGGATGTTTATCATGTGAGTTGCATTGATTTATTCCCCATTGACATCACTGCCACCAGCCTCTTCCTCATCATGTGGTAAAATTCTTATATCTAATTGATCACCCTCAGTTCCTCCATTTCTTGGTGGCAAGAGTGAGTTCAACAGTGAGAACCAGGCCAAGCACATATCCAGACCATGATTGCATCAAGGATTGATGTTTTGATAACTCTTCTTGTAGGACCGTTTTTGCTAAGACCACCTTATCTATCTTGTTGCACTCGCCTAGATTAGTTGTGGTGATTGATTGAATGGCATGGGGTGTCCCAATATTCACATTGTTTCCATTGAGCTCTTCCTCAAGATCCAAGATCTTATGCTCTAGAATTCAACAGGGCAGGTCGCAAGTCCCGCCCCTTGGTTATGTTGCCCACCAACCAAGAACCAAGCTACCTTGGTTCTTGGTTGGCGTGTTATCCCACCTGCTCCTCCTGGAGGGGCGGGCATGAGAACCCGCCCCTCCCTGAGGGGCAGGTTTGATTGCACACCTCATTTGGAGGGGTGGGGAGGGTGTGTGTGTGTGTGTGTGTTTATCAACACACTCTCAAGATAATCTTCCTTGTTTTGTGTTTCTATCCATCATGTCCAATCAATCCTCTCCCATTGTTCCTATCAGAAAGTTTTTACCAATTTATTTCAATCATCAAGCCAACTTCCCACTTATCTTGCCCTTCAACAGTCCTGCTCTTAATTTTTCATTGATAATCATTCTTGTTGCTCTCTTCCTCCATTATCCCCTATGCCAGCTGATTTTGAACCACATCCTATTCCATCACCTACTCTCAGCCATTTTCCTTCTTCCCCTGTTCCCCTTTGTCAAGATCACCATCAAGCGGTTTCTTCTCTTTTATCGGGTCTTTGAGTCAACGACCCAGATCACAATAAAATTTTGCTTGCCCGTGCGCAGGCCATTGAAAATTTGGAAGTGCAACATTGTCAATACAAATCAACTCTCCATGAGAATGAAGAAACAATTTCTAAATTTAGTCAATTATTGGTTTGTGCATCTGATTTTACAAAAATGAAAAACCACTACTCTAAGGAGTTTCTTCAGATCTGTAATGATCTTGACACAAAAACCAATGCTAATAACACCAGACTATTTCAACCAGAATCCCACAGCACTTCTTCTTCCTTGTCAAAGCCTCATTTTGATCCTCCTCATTAATTCCATTTATCTTTCTCTGGAGAAGTTTCCAAGAACCATCAATTCTGCTACTCCATTCTCAACACCTTTGCCAGAATTCCTCACTATTTCTCCAATGAGTCTGAGAAGATTCTTTGGGTTTTCAGTTATTTCAGGACCACTACGGGTCATTTAGGCAATCAGTGCCCGTCTTATTCTTGGTGGCATTGTAGTGTGCCAATTCTGTTTCAAGTATCAAATTGCATAAACGCACACTATTGAGAAGGGGATATATTCTTAGGTGTATTATGGCAT